TATTTATTATTAAGTAAATATTTAAACTTTTCTTTTTCTTTTTAGTATAATTCCTGAAATATATATATTCTTTATACTCTTTATAATAGGAAAGAGTTGGGTAGTTTTCAAAAGCTAGTATCCCCTGATTTGTGGTCGCAGCTTAACGTGTACTGGCACACACGTTTTGCGTATGAGGCCGCGGATTTCACTTGGTTTCCTTACACAAGGCGACGCTGTAACGCGCAGCGCTCTTATATAAGTACTCACGCCAAATACCATAAGAAGATAGAAATCTATATCCTAGTCTCTTAATATATATAAAATTCACTTTTATTATAATTTAGGTATTTCTTCTTCTTATAAAACTTAATTATAAATACTTCTCCTTATTCCTTAGGTATTATATCTAGATTATGTATAATATATTTATGTTTTACTATTAGTCTATAGTCTTAGTTAAAGTATTTAACTTTTATTTATAAATTTATTAATAATTAAATATAATCTAGTTTCTTAACTTTTAAGATCTTTATATAGCTTTTTATAACTTTAGGTCCTAATTCTTTATTATTATTATCTGCTTTATACTTTAGTTTATTATTATTATATATAAAAAGAATATTAAGTAACTAATATAATCTTAGTTTTTATAAGTATTATTTTATATTATTTTTATTACTTAAATATATAGTATAGTTATTATTATAATAAGCGATCTAAAATAATAGATTATATAGTATTTCTAATATACTCTTCTTAAGTTATCCTTATAGTACTTTCTTAGGGTCATCTTTCTTTTTTATAGATTTCTTATCTGCCTAGTTCTTTCTTTAAGGCTTATAACTTTCTTCTTCTAGAGTTCTTTTAATGGTACTTAGTTATTACTTAGAGTTCTTATACTCTTTAGCAAAATAATTAGGTTTTATATAAAGTAAATATAAGTCTTTTTTATGTCTTTCTGCTTATTAATCCCTAGAAATTCTTTACTTGCTTTTCTTATCCTAACTCTTCTTTAGTAACCCTTGTTTTCTTTCTTTTTTAGTCACATTTAAGTCTATTAGTATACTTTATCTTATAAGGTAATACTCTGGAACTCTCTGCTTTAGACATGTTATATTTACTTTATATTATATTAGAAATGTAATATAACTTTTCTTTTAGCCTCTTATAAGTTATCTTTTATAATTTTAGTTATTAAACTTATTTATTATCTTGATTAGAGATGATAATTCGTTTAGTCAATTAATCTTAAATAGGTCATCTTTTACTAAATCCTTTAGTCCTTTATAAAAGATGGCTACTAGTACAATATCCTCTTAGTTAACTTATAAGGCGATCTAGTAAAATTTAGAAGCGTAGTCTATAACGGATCCCTTTTATTTTATCCTTAGTAGATCTTGCTTAGCTTTCTTAACTATATTTATGTTCTTATATATTTATTTAATCTTAATTATAAAGTTAGTAAAGTTATAAAAGATTTATTATATATCTAGTTCTTAGTTCTTTACTGTCTCTTTAAGATTATTCTTAAAATAGAGTTTAAACTAGTTATATATAGTCCCTTAAAGAAAGATAACTATATATAAGATCTTTTTTTCATTAGTATCTACTACTTATATATAAAATAAAAAGTTAATTTATAATTAGTTTAAGAATTCTTAAAGTCTTTTTTTATCTTTATAAAAGAGGTCTAGTAATATAACTTTAAATTATATATTCCTTTTTTAGCCTTTAATAGCAATAGTACTTATTAATCCTGAGGTAACTGATATAATATATGTTATAGTAATATATATAGTATCTGTTTAACTATACTTAGTATTCTTAAGAGTAATAATTAAAGTATTAGGGCTTAACTAGTTAAGATAAGTCTTAACTAAAAGCTAGGTCAAAAGAGTTAATTTAATAGAATAAGAAGTGCAGTAACAGATATAAATATGTCTTAAACTTAGGTATAAGTTAATAATATAAGTTGACTACAGAGTAAGAAGAACTATCTGATTATTTATGAAAGAAGCATACTTATATAGATACAAGATTCGTATGCTCAGTCTTGCTCAGTAGTAAGCAGAGGTGAGCTTAGTTATGCTTAGTAGTGAGTAGAGGTAAGCAACTGTTAGTATGCTTGGTTGTGCTCAGTAGTAAGCAAAGGTGAGCAACCACTAGTACGCTCAGTCTTGGCTGTACGTCTAGCTTTCAGGCTGCAGGGCTCAGGCAACCTCCTTATCCTAGGTAGGTGCTGTAACAGATACCAAGTTTTAATAAAAACAAAAAATAAAAAAGTTCTAAAACATTAACTCTTTAATAACTTACTAATTACTTATGCTATAGGCCTTAAAAAGGCCTTTTCTAAGAGTTTAGAAGTAGATTTATATTATATATTATTTATAAAGTTTTATCTTTTATACTAATAAAGTTAATCTCAAAAGTATTTTTAAAAACTAATACTCTTTTACCTTTTATTTTCTCTCTCTATGAATAGTAATCCTATGAACCTAAAACTTATATATTGATTTAGATTTTTCTAAGGGCTATCGAATGATACTATTTATAGATCTCTAGCGCTAATAATTAGTCTGATACAGCTGATTTAAGTTTTACTCTTATAATTCACTTTTGATGTTCTTAACGCCAAGGCTGCAGCACTCTTCCCTAATTTTGACGTTCCTAATGTCAAGGCTGCAGAAATAACCTCACCGCTAAACACGGGTATCTCTTAACGCTAAACTCTATAAGGAAGGGACACCACGACAGGGATTAATCGGGGTCACAAGGGATACTTAGTGTTCTAAAGAGTAGTAGTCAAAGTGTTAGAGTTTAACAAGTTAAGACAAGTCTTAACTAAGATTAAGGTCTAAGGGTTTAGATTATAGAACAGGGGGTGCATAAGTAGATTATAAGATGTCTTCAACTTCTAGGTAAGAGCTGATAACATGAGTTGACTACGAAGACTATGAAACTATCTAGGAAATGAGCGTGCTTATATAGACTAGGAGATTCGTGCTCAGAGTTGATCATCCTGATCACCTCTGATCATTGCTCATGAGTGCTCATCCTGATCACCTCTGATCATTAAGTTGTCCAGGTCTGACCGTGTGTGCAGTTCAGGGTCCGCGCCTGTCCAAGTCTGTCATAGTTCCTTCGCAGAGCGCCAGGCAGCTCCGTAGCGCCTGTCTGTGCTTGGCGTGTTCACGTGCTGTAACAGTATTCTGGCCATTTTTCAGCTGATTTGAATAGCAATTAGTGGAATAATAGAAGATAGAAAAGGGGGTTGTTTTGAGGATGGGACGGAACTCTCACTATTTCCGTCACCTAGCTCCGGACTATATTTTAACCTGCCAACGTGAAATTTGTTGAATTCAAAAGAATCTATACGAAATTCATCGAAATTCATCGAATGTAATGCGTAGAGTTGATAGAAACGTGTAGAGCAGTGAGGTCATAGCGCCGTACAAGAGGTTCTGTCAAGAGGGCGTTTCGTGAGAATTTTACTAGCGCGGAGCTAACATTACTTATGGCCCCCCCGTAGTAGTTGATGCTCCGATTGAGATTCAACTTCAGGCAAAAGTCTTGGCACTATGATAAAATATTCAGCCCCATGTTCCATTATCCCGCCTTGTAACTTCCAAACAACCAGATTGACTGATCCACGGAACACATAAACATGGCATCAAATCCTGGAACAGATCGCTATCGCCCGCGTTACGGAGATGATGAAGGACCTCCAGCAGCTCCGGCAGATGTTCGAAAGGTCATGTATGAATTTCAAGGCAACCGAGGGCAAGGTCATGGCCGTGCAACTACAGGGGGCGAGTTCACATTTCGCCAAGGACCGCGTCCAAGAATCTCAGACCGACCTCTACTAACCGAAAGACAAGCATTATCTCCAGACCCCATTTTCAATGGTGGAGACACAATCGAGAAGTTCCGCCAGATTGACAATCTTACTGACTCAGAGAACGAGGAGATGGACGTGTCGCAATCTGACGACGATGGACCACAACGACCTAGCAAGAGGCTGCGGTCTGGACCTTCATGGTCTAATCCTGATCCTTATACCGCTTTACCACCCGTGACAGATGCTCCGAAGAAGAAACAAGACGTGGTCAAGTTGATCCGAAAATCACGCGTAACTCCGCCAGCACAGCCCGCAAACGCCGAGGCGACCAATGGTGAAGACTTTATCTCCCTTGACATGGGTGGCAGTGTTTCAGACAACGACCCAGATATACGTAAGGACGTTCCTGAAAATGCACCTACAGGTCCGAAGACTCAACCAGAAGAGGGTTCCACCCGTGTTGGTAAGCGAAAGCGTGATGCGCCACGCCAAGTCAACAAGCTTCCCCCTCAAGCTAGGAAGGGTAGTCGACTTCATCAAAATGGTATGATTATAGGAGGATGGCAAGCTCGAAACCCGGACTCCCCAATGCCCTGGTACCGACCCCCAAGTACATCACACGTTCTGGCCGGCGTAGCGTGAGTCGACCCGAATAAAATATTATTGTGCTAAAGCTGCTAATATGACTAGACTACACCAAGAGATCCTTGATTTCTACGAGTGGGTGAGACCACAGGACTTCGAACAAGAGATTCGATTAGACGTCATTACTCGGTTGCAGAAGATGTTCTCCAGAATTGAACCTGGCTGCCAACTTAAGCCCTTTGGCTCCTTTGCTGCAGGTTTGTATCTACCAACCGGTGACATGGACTTGGTCTTGATGACACATCCGTCTCGATCAAGATTTCCCCCGCAGCCCAAGAATCTGCTCTTCTTCGTTCATACTGTCCTACAAAAAGAAGGCATCGCTGTTCCAGGAAGCCTGCAACCTATAGCGAAGGCAAAAGTCCCCATTATTAAGTTTGTGGATGCAATCACAGGTTTGAAGGTCGATCTCTCATTTAACAACGACGCAGGCATCATTGCCAACAACACCTTCCAAGCATGGAAACTCCAGTATCCTGCTATGCCGATTCTAGTGTCAGTCATGAAGCAGTACCTCCTGATCCGTGGCCTGAATGACGTGGCATTCGGTGGACTTGGAGGCTTCTCCACTATTTGCTTGGTGACGAGTTTGATTCAGCACCATATCCGCCCAGGCCAAGTACCAAATCTAGGCTACCTGCTGCTCAATTTCTTCTATTTCTATGGTCATGTCTTTAATAAGCAGGAGATAGCCATCAGACTTGAACCACCAAGTTTTGTTCGCAAGGTAGGCTGAGTCTTGGTCAATTGCACCCTCGCTCACCGTTCCACAGGATCAATACACGCCTTTCCACTACAACTCTGACAGACCGAATCGCCTTGCGATTGTTGATCCAAACAAAGCAGACAACAATATCTCTGGGGGAACTGCAGAGATAGATCTGATTTTCAGATGCTTCTCACATGCTTACAGTCAACTGTCGGCACGAATGGCAGAGCGACAGGATACTGGAACGACATCGAAGAGCTTATTGGTTGATCTTCTTGGTGGCGACTTTGAAGCCTACAGCCAGCAGAGAGAGCGGTTGAGAAGAATCTATTCCGATCGGCTGGGTCAGAACAAGCAGCCACTGCCACCTACTGTATCGCTCTCTGGTCCTCCGGGTGTTGGGTTGCCAAATATTGCAACTGGAGGAAGGAAGCAGCCCGATATGTCACAACCCAATGGCCGCGAGGTTTCTTCCGGTAAGGTCAGCACACTGCCAAATGCTGCTGGAGTCGCACAGGCTTGACATCTATTGCTAGGATAAGCCAAATACTCTGCCAAAGTTGACGAAAGCCCAACGACGTGATCGTGCTGCCAAGGATCGCGCTAGCAGACTCAAGACGTTAAGGCCAGACATTGCTACCAAGGTTGGAGAGCGTGTGACAATGGAGCACGCCATGCAGTTAGGAGGATACGAAAGTGCCCAGGAGATGGACTTGGATCTGGCGCAGAGAGCTCGAGGAATGTCTCTCTGAATCGTTGTAGGTGCAAAGGGACTGCAATTATCTTGTCAGATATTAAGCAACTCCGTTCGAGACGGGCTGTGCTGACGGTATGCCCAGTTTTCATGGCTTGATCGAACTGCATGCATTATCGAGGTAGCAGTGTGGCCAGAAGATGATAGCGAGAGTGGATATTCCTGCTATAGCACCGCTTCCATCATAAATTCGAGCCGATTTTTTGCAGATTGTATCGGTTGATGGGGGTCCGCCAGTGCTATGGATGTTGATCAAGACGTGTCATATATATACAATATCCTCTTTCTCAGCCTATTTCATTCATTCTGCAAAAATGGTACTGATGTTTATTGACTAGGTCGATCCTGCTACTTCACTTGTGCTGGTGCTCTCCATGCTCCCTCATTGACCTTTTGCAGGCATTGTTCCACACAGCTCGAATCAAGACTCTGGGGGCTTCAAGAATGGATTCAACCCTGCTGCAAGCATTGCTTCGTTAGGTGTTGAGCTCCTTTCTTTGCAAAAGCCAAAGTAAATCCCGATACTGTATCAGTTGAAGGATGTACACGGCCATTTTCTCATCGTCAGTTCGCTACATGCGAGCGCTCGGAGAGGATTTCAAGCTGTCCAGGTCTGCATGAACGCCGGTTTTTGCGACGAGATATGCAATCTCCCGGCTGACCTTCCAACCACTGCATTGGTTAGACTAGGCATACAGAAGGGCCTCGGGGCGGTTTCTACCTCACAACGCCCATTTCCGGGACAACGGCTGCCGTTTTGGGTACCTTTCGATTACCGTTTTGACCGCTCCTACACCCCGTAGACCACGTGCCGGTGAGCCGTTTCATCTTGGTTCGTGCTGTCGAATGCCACAAAATCTGGTTCCCCCCCAAGTTAGCAAAAATACCTACAGTCTCTTCTACACACCCAAAATATCATCAACCTAAAAATGACTTCTCATGACCTGACAAGCCCTGAGTCTCTTAAAGACGACTGCCCATGTCATGCGCCTGCATGGCAGGGCTGGCATGGCCGCCAAGATAGTTAGTTGGTCAGAGTAGATGCTCTTCGGGCGCCCAAATGGCAGAGAGTCTTGATCATATACTATGCAGCTTGTAAGGCTGAAATCCTGAAACAGGATAAGGATTTTGCGGAGCTTGTTGGAAGAAAATGAGGACATGGCTGTGATTGTGTGAAAAGAGCTGCCCCAAAAAATAATACTAAATCGCTTCGTCATTTTGATTGCAGGGATAGGAGAGTGATACCTTGCACCGCCTCCTATGAAACCCCTCCTTTTCTTGAACTAGCTGTGGAGGTTGGCGAAATGTTGTATAATATCAAGTGTTCAAAACTCTGTCAGACAATACAATACTCACTTAAGGCAAGCAAAAAGTGATCGTACGGTCACAAACTCTTTTTGGCGTAATGGTTAGTCTGTTCGACACATTGCTACTCCGACTTCAAGACCAAACCAGTTCAGATTCGAAAGCCCATTCTCGGCACTACGCTGGGACAACAAGCAGATTCTGGTCCCACATCAACAGGGCCAACCCTCTCCTCTTCCAGAAAAGAATAAGGATTAGTCGTTTCAGCCGCAGCCCAAGGTTTCGCTGTTTTTTTTTGGCTTGAGCGGCCGTAGCACGGGTCTGACCGCGCTCAGACTCTTTTGCAGAGCAACACCGTCAAAACGGCCACATCCCCTCAAGCTGTTTTCTTTCTGATTCTAGCCTCCTCACCGCATCGTTCATCGTATCGATTGTGACTTGCAACGGAACATCCCTCCAGGCGATGGCAGGGCTGGTGTGAAGGTCCTCGAACTCATCTAGATCCGATCGCATTTTCAGGAGGGCCTGTACCGTCACTCTCATGACATCTAGAGCGGTTTTGTAGAACACGGTTATGTCAGTCAGCAATATGTGATGTGATTTGTAGGTCTCAAAATCGTCGTGCCGAGCCAGCCATAGCCAGAGCTCAGCGAGCACAGCCTTTTCGGGCGAATGTTGGTGCTCTTGCTCTGCAAATCCTCTGATCTCAGCTAGATTATCTAGTATTCGCTCCAGGTTGTCTAGGTTGGAAGAAGCTAAGTCAATCAGAGAAACAAGCCGGGCATTCACCTGAATGATTGAATGCATGAGTACATCCCTAATTTCAAGCTCATTTTTGTAAATAGGATTGAACGCAGAAAACGGCAGCAAGGATGAAGCGAGGATCTGTGCAAGCGATGGAGGGCTGTTCTGTTGAACAATGATATCTTGTAGGGTGTTGACGGCAAACCTATTAGCTGAGATGGCAGAACTGGATAAGCCTGAAACTCGTACAGCGAACTTTGTAAGACCGCTAGTCGTCTGGTTAGTAGCTGGCTGATCATTTGTGAGGGACACATACTCAGAGCTGTTCCTCGAGAGAGGAATCAAAACATCCATCTTTTCTAGAAATTCATTTTTGAATCTCAGCTTGCTGTACCTTACACGAATTCGTAGGTCTCTAAGCGCGAATTCTTTCGACAAAATGATTTTGCCCACACCGTAACTCTCCTGGGCCAGGTTTACCACGTTTTCCATCTGTTGTTCAGTGGTAGAAATTCTTGTGGGGCTCGTCGCTTTAATCGGTGCTTCGAACTGATGATGGCACATGGGAAGCTTCTGGCCTACCAGAGGGAGTGAACAGATGGGCTCGAACTTCTCCGTAATGGTCATGTAGACTGCGGCGCTCAAATGACTGAAAAGCAACCACAGAATGTAGAGAAGAACAGGCCATTTCCAATAGTGGTAAGTTGCCCTTGGAAGTTTGAGGGTGTCCGAGCATATGGCAGAAAGCAGGGAGCTCTGAGCGGATGCTGATTGTGACATTTTTTCTTTTGCAAATTTCGACCTTGTTTGCCTCCCCAACCGAGGCCTTTCCCGTTTTGGCGTATCATAGGAACTGGTCAGACCCAAGGTTGTATCTCTAGATATGGACGGTCGAGATTTTGTCTCATAGGGAGTAATGTCCTCAATTGAAATTATTTGTGAAGCTCTAGCGTCCGACTGCGATTGAGGCGAGTCTGGTTCACCTTCTGGGAAATCTGGTTCTGCTTGGGAGGCATTCGAAACTGGTGAGGGATCCATCGAATCAACTGGTAGGGCATCGGGATCAGCTTCAGGAGCATGCCGGGGGGTTCCCGCGTCTCGAGGCTCGAAGCCTGATAACATGGTTTGACGATCCGAATCTCGAGTCGCAGACGTTTCTGAGTTGGCGGGATCTGCGTTTGGCCCTTCGGGCGGCGCCATTCGAGCTATGTTAGTCTGATAAATGACCATTGAAGAACGTCGGTGTTTAGGTCCTGGCGACATTCTGACGCCATTGCTGTGTTTTTTGGTTGTTTCATCGTTCTGTCTCTTAGTTGTTTCGCTTGCCTGCTGTGACCGAGCCACTGAGATTTTTGAGGGGGAAATGATCTTTGAAGAACGTCGGCGTTTAGGTCCTGGTGACAATCTGACGTTATCATTCTGTTCCTTAGTCGTTCCGTTTGCTTGCAGTTGCCGAGCCATTAAGATTCTGTAGGAGGAAAAAGAGAAGACTGTTCTAATTGTAAAAAATGAGATGAGGTCCAACGTGGAATGGCATGGGAATTCCAGGGATACATAGTTCAATCCGGGCTCTTGGGTAACTGGATCAGCGAACAAAGAAATGCATCTGTGAGCGGATCTAGGATCGCATGCTGGCTTTCAAGCTCCCTCATCATTCGCTGAAGTCTGTCAACGATCTCTCCTGCAGTGCGGAAGGCTGAAACATGTTTTTTTTTGTTTCTCTCCGCAACCATCATGCTCTGGGCTTCATAAAAGGGAGGCGGAATTGAGAATGTTGACCCAGAGAGGCTCTGTTCACATAACTACCCACTAGCCAAGCCTACCGATCTAATTACTGGCTGGGTACTCCGTACTGTCCCACGAAACTTAGAACTTAGCATTGACCTCTTTGAACCTCCAAGGCACTTGACACCGTTCCCTACCCATTGTAACGCCGCCCACTATATAGATATCTAGTTCATTGTGTGGTAGAAGAATTGACATCTAAGAATCCGACAAATTAATATAAAGGTCGAAGACCATCTTTTTCAGTGCTGAACGGAAGGGACGACAGAGAGAAGGCAGCAGCAGCAAGGTGGCGCTTAGCCTGATCGGGCGGGTCTAAACCGGACGAGGCAGCGCACCAGCAGCATTTTTAGCAGCACAACTCTACTACGTACTTTCTGGGACATAAGACGCTGTTTCAAGCAGTCTTTGACGTCTGGGGCACCGCAGGTCATATGACCTATGCCTCTTGTGCTGTCATCCCTGTCGTTCCGTTCATTCTGACATCCTCAAAAACTACCAGGTCCCAAAATACACCTCCCGAAGATAGGCCCCCCTCTCCCCCTGGCTTCGAGCAGCAGCAGCAGTAGCAGTCTGTGGAGCAGCCACTGGAGCAAACAGCAAAACTGGTGTCTGATGCATTTGCGATTGTGACAAGATTCTACAGCTTTTTGCATCCGCTGATTTCTGGGGGCTGGCTATTCCTCCAACATACAGTGACTCTTACACTTTCCCCCTTCCTCGCACCACTCTACCTACTACGTAAGTATTCTCTTAGCGTTTGGTAGTTTAGCTTCCGTTGCTACCACGCAACTTCTTCCTAACCCATACTCAATCATTCAAGTAACTTGTTCCAATCTATTGCACTCTTGTTATAGAATTTCTACGCTAAAATCACAGCGTCACTAATCCTAACAAGAAAGGAGACTCATTCAGTGACACAGGGATAAAAGCTGCTTGACATGCTGAATTAAAGAGCTATCTCCTTGAGCTACTTGAGTTAACGTGAGAAAGATACTAGGTAGTAAGGACGTCAGGCTAACCTTGCTGAATTCCCACTGTTCTGTTAGGCGAGCAGCCCCGACTGAACGTTTATGCGACATCTTCCATCGTTTAGTGAAGTCACGTAAGGGAACTGTCCTAAGGGTACTCACATGGCTGCTTTCTGCTTCGCATTCAATATCATCTAATTGTTGATCATTTGATCCATAGCGCTTCGCATTGCAACCTGGTTGGTCAAATAGACTGCTAGGCGTCGGTGAAGTCGACTGAGCCAGTTTGAAAATGTGCTGTTAGTCGTCGGTACTTCATATGCAGATCGTTATCTTCCTCCTCGTATATTTCTCGTTGATGACATCAGTTTCCACCAGTCGTCTTTTTTTATTCTGACGATGAGATCCACTCAACAGAGCAGTCATTTCAGGGATTAGGCATGGAGTATTTTTCTTCTGAAAATCATGTAATTTGCCGGCCTTCGAAAAGATCTTTGTTCCAAGGGTGGATTGTGAGGATCCGCCCTTGATATCACTGTTCGCCAGATTCCAGCCAACATCATACCCATTTACAAGGCCTCAATAAAGTGAGGAGGTAACTGAGTGGGGCTGTCAACTGTGCGGACACTGGGCATTGGCATGGAACCCTGCATGATACCGAAAATTTCGTCAACACCTTTTCTGGATACAACAGTACTGCTTTCCGAACACTGCGCTTTCGCCCTCAGTTCAGCGCATAGGCTCTCGATATCAATCTCGCCTTCTTGGAATTCCTCCGTTGATTGCAAACGATCCCTATCACGAGAGATTAGTCCAGAACGAATGCTCTAACGAGTGTCTCACAGACCATATATTATTAATTGTCATCATCTTGGAGGTGTTCTCGCCAGGAACAACTTCCTCTGTGCCATCCTGAGTGGCTTGGACTTCGTTCGCTCTTTCAAAGACAAGATCATTATAACATGGCTCGCAACAGATTTTTATTATGGGAACATGCGGCAGATCGCAAGGCATTAAATCCTCAACTCGCCGGCATCTTTGACACTGTGGACTAGTAGCAAGATTCCTGGCGGTTTTACAGAGAAGGCGAATACATCGAAAATCCTGAACGTGAGCTTGGGTCTGGGGCTTCCGCGCTTCTAATCCCTGTCGTTTCCCCCATTGAAACGTGAATTTTTATTAAGGTTCTCGTCGAGCAGTATCGACCTCAGGTAACTCGACCACACGTCGGAAAGTAGTATAGCAATTTTCACTAGTGAGAGAGCTTCAGCTTCCTGTAAATACGCGATCACATGACGGGGTTACTTACCACGTAATATCCTCGCCAGCTTTTCCGGAACATTTGCTATGGCAAGATATACACGTAACACTTGCTATGGAGTTAGCATCCTGAAAGAGCATGCTCATGTCGTATGCTTGACCGGGAAATAGACAGGAGTCCCAAGGCCTACTCAGATCGACGTCACGCTTGGTCTTAGTAGCTTGTAGGACATATCGGCCGTCTTCGATCATTTGAAGACCATTGTGCTTAAACCTGACCTTCAACACGGCGAGAAAGGCCTCGAAGCTGTTTATCCATTCCAAATGAATGGGTGCTAGTCGATCTAGTGCGTCTAGTAGCATGACCGGTTTCTGTAGCAGAATCTGTGGGGGCAAGGAATCTTGGTTGGTTTGGAAGGCTTTTAATACCTGGAGGTGTTGCCGGCTGTCAAAAATCAGTTCATTCGAACAGATATATATTTTCTAATGAAAACGTACACCAGTAATTGCTTCGTAGACTCGATCGAAGCGAGAGCCTGCTCATGCAAGCACCCCGACTACGCGCAGGTAGCCTTGATCTAGTCGAAAGATTGGTTGATGGTGTTTAGAGAGTCAGTCATAGTAGACAACGCTCCGGTCTGGAATTTCATCTCTTGCTCTTGAGCTTGTGCACATCTGGTGGATAGAGAGAGTGCTGAACTAAAAACAGGGAGTCAGCAGAAAGCGGAGAGATATGTTTATAGTTCACTGACGCCTGTATTGTAGCCATCAGCATCTTGATTGTCTGAACATGGGAAGCAATCCGCAGGCGGAATGAGGTGAGCTCCTCGGCCTTGCAGAGCCGCCATTGTATCTTGCGCACCGCATCTTTCCAACTATCCCTGAGCCCATGCTACTTAGATGGCCATGATACTTTGTAAGTGACTTGAGATAATTCTCGATGGACGTTTCTGAATCTCGCACAGCCTGGCGAAGTGCGCTTCTCTGATCTATCTGTATAATGCCATGGTACTGAGCTTTGACATGTAGGAGGGCAACCTCCAGGCCTCGGAGCTCGGTGATGACCTCGAGATACTCCTTGGAAGAGCCCCTGCTGTCGTTGAGAGCTTTGACAAGATCTTTGACGAGGTTGATACTCGTTATGAAGTCGCCAGCTGAAAAGCCAAACGCCGCAGCCATGATTATATGATAACCTAGGTCGAGACAGACTAACACCGGTGAATCATTTTGGTGAGAATATGAAGTCCTTCATTCTTCATTCTCCATTCTCATGCTTGAGTGAAATATGGGCCGAGGGTTGGGAAAGTATTGCCTACTTACTTAGCAGGAAGAGGCCCTACCAAAATTATGATTGAATTACCATCAATCAGCTGAATAACACGTCTGAAGACTGAGGCCACGGTAAAATATCTTGTGTCCGATTACCATGATTCTCTAGACGACCCTATTAAGCTCCCTCGAGTCCCTCTCGATCCCAATCCGTCCATCCTCTATCGCCCTCCTCCTCCCCCCTCCTCGTCCCATTACCCCTTCCCCTCCCCCTCCTCATCCTCCTCCCCTTCCTTCCCATTCCCTCCACCCTGTCCCAGCCTGTAAAACCGTCGCCAAAGCCGCCATACCCACCGCAACCATAAAAATTCCCCTCAAAGCATACGCATATCCCTCCATCGCTACTAATCTCTTCGTCCTACTCAACTGCCCTACTAAAGCCGGACTATCGAGTAGTTTCCTGAACAATTCCTGTCTCGTCTCGTTCCTTGGTCGTCATCTTCCTGCCGGAAATCTCTCCTCAAAGCCTCTCTGCAGGTCCGGTCTGAGAAACCGAGCAAAGATCCCGCCGCTGATGATGGCACTCGCAAAGCTAGACGAGAAGCCGCGGAACGTGGTGACGAGGCTGGAGACGACGGAGTATATGGATGGAAGGGTGAGGTGGTAGATGTGTGTTAGGTTGTTGAGGAGGCAGGTGCCTATGGTGAGGCCCGTTGAGCGTGAGGGAAGTAGTGAGGGAAGCAATGAGGGAGTAGACTGTCATGCTACTACCACTTTTGGCGGTGGTTATACCAGCCAGGACCAGCACTGTCACGGTAAATAGCGAACACGCCACTAAGGCAGACAAGTAGAACGACCCTGCGCGCCTGACATGGGAAGTAAAGCAGCAGCAGATTCCCCGGCGCGAAACCGACGTTGGTAGGTAGGAGGACAAGACCTGAAGCTCCCGTTGCAAGACTGATTGTCGCACCGTCTATTGTGGCAGCGGTGCCACCAGCTGTGAGGGTAATGCCATCTACGATGACGAGGTTACTGCTCTTTAGACGCTCTAATGGTAGTAGCACCAGTCGCGGAGGGGAAAAGGGGGACAACTTGGCCGTCTTCCTGCTTCGGTTTTCATCCACGTGAATACCCAATTCATCATGATAAGGCTTATCAGCGTCCGGCATAATCAGTTCCACAAGGCAGGAGTGACGACTTTCACATTATCAACAGCGGCATCTGTGCCCACTGCTGTAGTAGTAAGAGAGGAGCATCGCTGATTATCGGTCAGACCAGCTAGGAAAGACTCTATTCCCTAAACTTGTGTAAAAGGATCCAACTGATTATTGGTGGGAAGCGGCCAACAAAATGTTCTTAACCTTAAGCTCAGAATGCTCAAAATCACATAAGGTCTGGTAAAGAGTTTTCGATTTGTTTTCTTCAGATTATAATTGCTAAGCACCCCAACTAGTAGCCACTTATCGATTAGACCCATTTGCCCACGTTTAAGGGATATAGGTGTTCGTGAATGCTCTGCTACTGTGCATTGCGAAGGTCTTGCAATTCCTTATCGTTAACCTTGAATTGCTGGCAGCGAGGGAGATCAAGAAGCAGCAGGCTGTTTATACCCGGACTAAGCGGCAAGGGGGCCGCGTTGCCTAATCATGGGCGGGGCTAAACCAAAAGAGGCAGCACACCTGCACACCTGCACCTAGACTCTGAAGAAATGCTACGGATCCTGTACATAAAACAGAGATATAATTTCCCAGTGTAAAATGCTTTCTTGCAATGGATCCTTCTACTCCTACTCAAGTTGGATCCACTGTGAGATATTCTCTAAACCGACTAAAGGCCCTCAGGACAGCTTCTAGTAAACACGATGCGACGAATGCTGTATTAGAAGTAAAGACATAAGTTTTCATTGCGAAAGACTTTTTGTAACATACCCTCCTTCTACTTAAGTTGACTCTGCTGTAAGATATCCTTTAATCCTACTGGAGGCCTCAGGGAGCTGAAACAGCTAACGAGCGTTGTGTTCCCCCGCACCTCTTTCTTGAGTCACGGCCTGCGCTTCTCCAACTTTTGTGCCGGGATATTTGGTTAACTTTAAACCCACGCGCAAAGTATTACTGTGTTACAGAGCCGTTTACTGGAGGCCTTCGTGAGCGTGAGGAACACGAGGAATGGTGATGATCTGAAGTGGGAGAATAGAACCGGCAATGTGTGCCAAACATGGCGCAACAAGTCCAGAACCTTGACCCGACCCGACGGCTGTTTGAGGAATTGAAAAGCAAGAATGAGGATGTTCGGACCAGAGCTTCGAACGAGCTCAGGGAGACACTGAATTCGTTGTCGCGAGGTGAGTAACTATTGCAACCTATAGTTCACCTAGCTAATGCTACAATGATATAGAATGGTCACCAGAAAAGTTCACCGAATTCTATAATTCCGTGAGTTCAAGAATCAACTCACTCGTGCAGTCACCCGAGCCATATGAGAAACTTGGTGGGCTATGGGCGCTGGACCGCCTGATCAACATAGAAGGAGTAGATGCTGCTCTGAAGACTTCAAGATTTGTAAGTTACTTGCACAACGCGTTACGAAGCAATGACTACGTCGTCCTTGACAAAGCTGCACAATGCCTCGGCCATCTGGCCAAACCTGGCGGAGCTCTGACCGCAGAGCTAGTGGAAAGCGAGATACAGTCTGCGATGGAATCGCTCCAGTCTGATCGACAGGAGGGCCGTCGTCTGGCCGCCGTGCTGGTCATAAGAGAACTTGCGAAAAATTCACCAACCCTACTCTACGGTTTTGTGCCACAGATATTCGAACTCATATGGATACCACTCCGTGACTCCAAGGAGCTCATCCGGAAGATATCTGCAGAAGCAGTCAGTGCCTGTCTGGCAATCATTGTTGCTCGAGATGCACAGTTTCGACAACAGTGGTTTTCGCGAATTTACGATGACGCATTGGACGGTCTGAAGTCGCTGAATGTTGACTGGATTCACGGTTCGTTATTGATATTGCAGGAGCTGCTCCTGAAGGGGGCAATGTTTATGCACGATTTCTACCGTAATGCCTGTGAAATTGTGCTTCGGCTCAAGGATCACCGGGATGCAAAGATTCGAGCCCAAGTGGTTCAGACAGTTCCAATCCTTGCCGACTATGCCCCTGTCGATTTCATAAACAATTATTTGCACAAGTTCATGATCTATCTTCAAGCACAACTGAAGAGGGACAAGGAGCGCAACGCTGCCTTCGTTGCGATCGGATCCATCGCAAAAGCGGTCGGAAGCTCTATGGCCCCATACTTGGATGGCACCATCGTCTACATTCGTGAGAGCTTGAGTGCAAAAAACAGAAATAGGGCGGGCGTTGACGAGGGGCCAGTCTTTAAGTGCATTAGTATGCTTTCATATGCCGTGGGGCAGACCCTGAGCAAGTACATGGACGCTCTGCTTGACCCTATATTCGCATGTGGACTGAGTAAACCAGTTGAACAAGCCCTCGTTGATATGGCACACTATATTCCACCAATACGTGCAGCGGTGCAAGAAAAACTGCTGGACATGCTCAGTCTGATCCTGATAGGGACTCCTTACCGACCACTTGGCTGTCCGGATAATCGAACACCTCCGTTGCCATCATTTGCCAAAGATTACGGTGGTTTCGTTGGAGAACATTCGGATGCTGAGATCACTCTTGCTCTCTGGACTTTGGGCACATTTGATTTTTCCGGCCACATCCTCAATGAATTCGTTAGAGACGTTACAGTGCGTTACTCTGAGAATGAAAAACCTGAGATTCGCAAAGCAGCGGCTTTGACCTGCTGTCAGCTGTTTGTACATGACCCCATCGTACATCAGACTAGCAGCCACTCAATTCAAGTAGTGAGTGAAGTTATCGACAAGCTACTAACTGTCGGTGTGGGAGATCCAGAGCCAGATATACGTCTAACTGTCCTTAAATCTCTGGATAGCAAATTCGATCGTCACCTGGCCAGACCGGAGAATATAAGATGCTTGTTCCTTGCTGTCAATGATGAAGTTTTCGCAGTTCGAGAGGCTGCTATAACTATCATAGGGAGGCTTTCCACTGTCAATCCTGCCTACGTCTTTCCTCCGCTTCGAAAGCTGCTGGTCAATCTGCTAACGGGCCTGGGCTATTCAAATACTGCCAGGCACAAGGAGGAGAGCGCGCATCTGATTAGACTTTTTGTCCGGAACGCATCAAGATTGATAAGAACCTATGTCGAGCCCATGGTAGCAGCATTGCTACCGAAGGCAACGGATCCAAATCCTGGAGTCGCTGCCACTACGATTGGGGCTCTTGGGGAGCTTGCAAGCGTAGGCGGAGACGAGATGAAGCACCATATCCCAGAAATCATGCCTATCGTCCTCGAAGCCCTCCAAGATCTTGGCTCTCACTCGAAAAGAGAAGCGGCTTTGCAGACTTTAGGATCTTTTGCCATAAATTCTGGATACGTGATTGATCCATACCTTGATCACCCGCAGCTCTTAGGAATCTTGATAAATATCATCAAGACTGAGTCTCACGAATTACTTCGCCAGGATGCGATCAAGCTGTTGGGGGTTCTCGGTGCTCTTGACCCCTATCGTTATCAGCAGATCAGTGAAGGCACGGCAGAGAGCAAGAGCAACGTCGAAACGCAAGCTGTTTCCGATGTCGCCCTCATTATGCAAGGCCTCAATCCTTCAAATGAGGAATACTATCCGACTGTCGTGATCAATACACTTTTGCAAACTATACTCAGGGACCATTCCCTAGTCACATACCATTCAGCAGTGATTGACGCGATAGTCACAATCTTCAAAACCCTAGGTCTGAAATGCGTACCATTTCTTGGTCAAATCATTCCAGCATTTCTTGCCGTCATACGTAGCGCGCCTACTTCCCGACTTGGGCCATACTTCAACCAGCTCGCAATTCTCGTTAGCATTGTCAAGCAACACATCAGAGCATTTCTCCCCGACATCTTAGAAATCGCTCGTGAATGCTGGAATAAATCCAATCAAGTCCGGTCGACCATCCTCTCCCTCGTTGAAGCTATATCAAAGTCTCTTGAAGGAGAATTCAAGAAATACCTTGCTGGTTTGCTGCCACTATTGCTTGGAGTCCTTGAACAGGACATTGATCCTACGAGGGAGGCGTCCATACGCATCCTGCATACTTTCCTGGTTTTCGGCTCAAGCGGCGAGGAGTACATGCACCTCATCATTCCCGCTATCGTTCGAATGTTCGACTCGCCTACAGCGCCAGTTTCATCACGAAAGGCTGCTATTGATACTTTGAGTAAGCTTTGCCGGCTGGTCAATGTCTCGGACTTCTCATCGACAATGATTCACCCACTGGCGAAAGTCATTGGTACGCCCCCTGAGAAGGTGGCTACCAATGCAGCAGAGCGGCAACTCAAGACTGCAGCCATGGATTGCATATCCTCCTTACTGTTCCAGCTCAATCAGGACTTTATTCATTATATCCCTCTTGTCAATAAAGCGGCGAAAGTTGGTCAGATCAGCAATCACACTTACAACAAGTTGGTTTCGAAGCTACAAAAAGGTGAGTCCCTTCCACAAGATCTGAATTCGGACGAAACGCATGGACCGCTGGGAGAAGATAACTCGTACTCGGCTGTCGAGTCAAAGAAGCTTCCAGTTAATCAGGAGCACTTGAAGAACGCCTGGGACACATCACAGAAGTCCACGAGAGAAGACTGGCAGGAATGGATGAGGAGATTCAGTGTCGAGCTCTTGAAGGAGTCCCCATCGCATGCTTTACGAGCTTGTGCTAGCTTGGCTGGTGTTTACCAACCACTAGCCAAAGATCTATTTAATGCCGCGTTTGTGTCATGCTGGCCTGAGCTATATGATCAATATCAGGAAGAGCTTGTACGATCAATAGAGAAGGCCCTCAGCGCTGCCAACATACCTATCGATATCTTACACGTCCTACTCAATCTTGCAGAGTTCATGGAACATGATGATAAGGCATTGCCGATTGATATTCGAGAGCTTGCAAAGATTGCATCTAAATGCCATGCGTTTGCGAAGGCGCTTCATTACAAAGAATTACAATTCGAACAAGATCAGAATGGGTCAACCGTGGAAGCATTGATAAGTATCAACAACCAATTACAACAGACTGACGCGGCAATCGGCATACTCAGGAAAGCACAATATTACAGCGAAGTCGAGCTGAAAGAAGCCTGGTTCGAAAAGTTACAGAGATGGGAAGAAGCGTTAGACGCGTACAACCGCCGCGAGAATATTGAACCCCAGAACTTCGATGTTATCATGGGCAAGATGCGGTGTTTGCATGCCCTGGGTGAATGGAAAGTCCTGTCAGAACTTGCCCAGGATCACTGGCAAGAAGCAAATGGTGATCAGAAGAAACAGATGGCTGCTTTGGCTGCTGCAGCTGCATGGGGGCGAGGTCAGTGGGATTTGGTTGATCCATACCTCAGCGCCCTCAAAGAAGACTCTGCGGATCGGTCTTTCTTTGGAGCCGTCCTGTCACTTCACCGCAACAGCTTCGAAGAAGCCGAAAGGTTTATCAGCAAGGCTCGTGCAGCTGTCAACGCAGAGCTGACGGCGATCATCGGAGAATCTTACAACCGCGCCTACAATGTAGTCGTCCGCACACAAATGCTCACTGAGCTCGAGGAGATCATCACATACAAGAAAGGTGCTTCGGATCCCCGCAAGCAAGAACAACTGCGGAAGACCTGGGATAGGCGACTTCTCGGATGCCAGCAAAATGTTGAGGTCTGGCAAAGGATGCTAAAGGTGAGAGCATTGGTCATCAATCCCAGCGAGAACCTGGAGATGTGGATCAAGTTTGCCAATCTGTGTAGGAAAACAGCAAGATCAAGTCTGGCGGAGAGAACCCTCGCTTCACTGGAAAATGTCACACGGGACGAGAGTGGCAATGTGCCTCCTCAAGTCTCTTATGCACGACTCAAGTACAATTGGGCAATAGGCAACCAGCAAAATACTCTCATATTCTTGAAGGATTTCACTGCCAGATTGTCAGAAGAATATGCACACTATAACGCAACGCTCGTCAATGGCGTCAACGGCGACAGAAATAATGGCATCGGTGCACCAGCTCTTAACAGTCAGGACAGCATGGCGACTCGCTCGAAGATGCTCGAGGCTACCAAGTACACGAAACTTCTAGCCAAATGCTACCTCAAACAGGGAGATTGGCAAGCACACCTACATAAAGGCGATTGGAGCAGCGATCATGTCCGAGAAGGTGTCCGAGACATTCTGAACTCCTACTCTGCTGCAACACAGTATAACCGCACATCCTACAAGGCGTGGCATGCATGGGCCCTCGCTAATTTTGAAGTCGTCACCTCGATGGACTCCCATGCAGACCAAGAACGTGTCAAATTACCCGAAAATATCATCCTCGATCACGTTGTACCGGCCGTGAGGGGCTTCTTCAAATCTATTTCTCTGTCCACGACGAGCTCGTTGCAGGATACCTTACGTCTACTGACATTGTGGTTCGCTCATGGTGGCCATCACGAAGTCAATCTCGCAGTTACCGAGGGCTTCCAATCCGTCAGTATCGATACGTGGCTTGAAGTTATTCCTCAGTTGATCGCACGCATAAATCAGGTGAATCAGCGTGTCCGGCTATCTGTGCATAGACTTCTTTCTGAAGTTGGAAAGGCTCATCCACAAGCCCTTGTATACCCACTGACAGTGGCAATTAAGTCTAATGTCGCTCGAAGATCCCATTCAGCTACTCAGATCATGGAAAGTATGCGGCAGCATAGTCCTACTCTAGTTGAACAAGCCGACCTAGTCAGCCATGAACTTATTCGCGTAGCCATTTTATGGCACGAACTCTGGCATGAAGGTCTTGAAGAGGCCTCCCGTCTCTACTTTGGCGATCAAAACGTCGAGGGCATGTTTGCTACGTTAGCACCTCTCCATGAGATGCTTGATAGAGGTGCTGAGACATTGCGAGAGGTTTCATTTGCGCAGGCATTTGGCCACGATCTTGCAGAGGCCAGACACTTTTGCAATGTCCATAAGCAAACTCAAGAGCTGGGCGACCTTAATCAAGCATGGGATCTTTACTATACGGTTTTCAGAAAGATCGCCCGACAACTGCCACAGCTGATGACCCTAGATCTCAAGTATGTTTCTCCACGTCTCAAAGAGGCGAGAAATCTTGATCTCGCCGCACCTGGAACTTATCATTCTGGTCGTCCTGTCATCAAGATCGTAGAATTCGACCATGTTCTCACCGTGATCCCTTCGAAACAACGGCCACGCAAGATGACTCTAAAGGGTAGTGATGGGATGCCCTACACCTATGTATTAAAGGGGCATGAAGATATCCGACAGGACGAGCGTGTCATGCAGCTGTTCGGCCTAGTCAATACGCTGCTCAACAATGACGCTGACAGCTTCAAGCGCCATCTTAATATCCAAAGATTTCCCGCCATCCCTCTCTCCCAAAACTCTGGCCTTCTTGGCTGGGTTCCCAATTCAGATACCTTGCACAATCTCATCAAGGAGTATCGTGAATCACGAAGGATCCTTCTCAATATCGAACACCGCATTATGTTGCAAATGGCCCCTGATTATGACAACCTGACTCTCATGCAGAAGGTCGAAGTATTTGGATATGCCATGGACAATACCACCGGGAAGGATCTCTATCGCGTTCTCTGGCTCAAATCCAAATCATCCGAGTCGTGGCTGGAACGGCGAACCAATTACACTCGCTCACTGGCAGTTATGTCTATGGTCGGATACATCCTTGGGCTGGGTGACAGACATCCTTCGAACTTGATGTTGGACCGCATCACTGGCAAGATCATTCACATTGATTTCGGCGATTGTTTTGAAGTGGCAATGCATCGCGAAAAATACCCAGAAAGAGTACCGTTCCGTCTGACTAGGATGTTGACATTTGCTATGGAGGTCAGCAATATCGAAGGCAGCTTCCGCATCACCTGCGAAGCCGTCATGCGCGTCATCAGAGAGAACAAGGACTCCCTGGTGGCGGTGCTCGAAGCTGTAGGTTCTCCTGTCACTAAACCCCTTCTCCATGCTCCCGACTAACATTTCTCTTTCTAGTTCATCCATGATCCGCTTCTGAACTGGCGCCTCAATGTCCGTGAGTCCCCACCCAGACCACACTTCCGCTCCGAACGCCGTGCTTCCATCATCGAGAACATCCCTGTCAATCTAGATAATCCAGCCAACCACTCTCCTCCCTCGCCCGTCACGCAACCACCCGGAAACCCTTACCGTCACCGCCGCTCTAGCGTCCTCGAAGCATTACCTGGCGGTCTCTCATCCATCCGCTCACCCAATAACCCCCAAGACGCACGAGAAGTGCAGAACGCACGAGCGCTGCAAGTGCTTGCTTGTGTGAAACAGAAATTGACGGGCCGCGACTTTCCTCCCACGAGTACGACTGGTCAAGGGAACAGTATCCTTACGCCAGCGCAACGGCTCGAAGCCAGCACGGCCGGGTCCATGGATCTGGGTGCCATTGTCGCGGCAGCGGCGCTCGATGGTAGTGCGGGTGGTCACATGGGTATGGAAAGACGAGGCGAGGGGGAGCTGCTGGTAGCGGAGCAGGTGGAGAAGTTGATCAAACAAGCTACCAATACGGAGAATCTGTGTCAGCATTATATCGGATGGTGTAGTTTCTGGTGAGATGGAGGTGGCCTGGCCTGGCAGACGGAGAAGGAGATGGTGGAGTGTTTGATACCGTCTTTTTTCTCTGTTCCCCTGATGCAGTGGGTGGATTGCAGCATTGAGTAAAGGGCGTTCGTCATGGAGGACGTCCGGGTGCCAACGGGTTGGCCCCAAGCATGTGGCTGTACTATCGGCTGCTGCTATCGAGCTCTCTCTTATTTCTTCTCTTTTCTTTTCTTTTCTTTTCGTGCGATACGTGGATTCCGGTCGTGTTGTAAGAAAGAAGGGGGAGGGGGGGGTGGAGGGGAAGGGGCAGAATAAAGCGTACCTCTGATATTGATGAAGCCCCCCATCCAGACACAGAAGAAGATGGTTGACTTGATCGGTCTATGTATACGTATCAGACTGCTTCTGTGCATGATCCTTGTTCACGTTTTTTGATTATTTCCGGATTCTTTTTGGATTCTTTTTTTTTCAACTCTTTCAATTAGTAAATTAGTTACATAGCTAGCGACAAGAATGCAAAAGTGTGAGTATGTCGATATTGTGGCGTGGGTACTACAACTAACTAGAACCAGAAGCCTGCCCGCTGGTTGATGTATCTCTCCACATCTCTTCCGCTGCTGCGAGTATTTATTTTCTAACCAGTAGCTATTGGTTTGTTTGGGTTTTTGGAGGAAAGATGCGAGGGGGAGAAGGTTGGGAATGGCAAGGTGGGCGCTTCTCGAGCTTGAGGATGGATTTTGTCTTTGTAAGTTTCCTGTGGTTTTTATATGTACATGAGGGTGCTGCTATTGCTGCTGCTGCTGCTGCTGCTGCCATGTGCTCCTTTGTGCTCCTCGGCCGGCGGATACTGTAGCTACCGATGAGTACGTAGTATGTAAAGTAGTGCCAATCAAAGGGCAGCCACTTGTTGCCTGCATCGTCCATAGGTAGATATGCAACGCTTCGTGGGAATGTCCTTGCTTATGCAACCAATCTCGGTGCTTGCATCCGAAAATGCGGTTCGTCGTTATGTAGGGTCAGGGGCTTGATGGGCTCGTTCCCTGTTACGCCTTTCCTCTTCAGCTGCGCCTTTCTCTCTCTATATTCCGCGTAACCCTTCTTGGCTGCCCATTCGTCCTCGTCGTCTCCCAGATCTGATACACGACCTGCTCCCCAACGCTCAGCCAATCCGTTAAAGTCCTTCTTGGCTTCGCCCGGGGCCACTTCGATTTTACCTCCGCTCCGTCCACGTCGCGAGGTAGGGCGTGCTTGCGCATCAGCTAGGCAACTATGACGGTTGGAGCCTGTGAGACACGGATATCGCCTTGGACCGAAACGTGGTCGAGGGATGCCGGAGATGGGTTGCTGTAGCTGTCTGCATCTGAGCTCGATGATAGTCTACCTTGTGGTAGCAGCATCTGGTCGATGAAATCGCAGATCCGGTCCAAGCGGGCGAGAAGGCTAAAAGTTGAAGAGTCGACCCTCTCGATCTATATATTTTTGTCTGCGGGAACGTGGTCTGTAAATCTCGGTCGATGCCAGAGGTTCAATGGCATGCTAGACGGAGACCGCAGCTGTTATGTGGTTGCCCCGTAGGGTAGGTCAGTCCTGGGCACATATTTCATCACCGACGAAGAGGTGTGGAGCGACTTTCGAAGCTGCAGGAGGCCTGTAGAGACCTGAGCGAGAAGAAGGGATGTTGGGGAAGCTGTAGGTTGATTTGGCTGAGGAAGAAATGCAGGAATCAGGTCAAGTGAGAGCAGCGTGGGTATTTGTCTTCCGAATTGCTGGAAAATGGATCGAATGCAGTTAAGCATTACACACCTGCCTTTATTCTATTGAGACATACTGAATCTCACATAAGGGCATTGATATTTTGACTACCATTAAGACAGAAGATGGGCTTTTAAAATGCCGAGGAAAGACCTACCTTGAACCAATTTATATAGTTCTGAATGGGTGCTTTCACTTGACACTTTCAAACATTTGGCCTGGTTTGTTGTGAAAACTGTATCGTTTGATTCTTGAAATGTATATGATTGATATGATACCGTGCTATGCTTGCCGATCCAGCTGTGACCCGAAATCGTAAATGCTTGGATATGTAATGCCGCTTAAGACGCTTTCCTAAAATGCAGAAACTCCGTAAAATGCTCGTATAGTCATGTACATGACTTATGGACGCCACTGAGACCTTCAGCCCTGCACAGGCCTTCGGAGCTCATTCCCAGACGATGTGACTATAATGTCCTGGCACATGCTTTTGGCACTTCTCACAGTCCGCGCGAAAACCCATCACAAGTTTGCCTTTTCTTGGCGCCTCCGAGCCCGTATCGGACCGCCTTTCGAACATGGCATGCCCTTTACTTCCTCTAGAGGAAGTTGATGACAATGGTGGGCTTGGGTTGGTTTCATCGATCATCTCTGAGTTGTGTGTTTGCATGTTGTCAAAAGACAGAGCGTCCATCATACCAGGACCTGTCAGGTCATCTGTTTCCATTCGCTGTGATATGACGGGACTCTCTGCAGGGCTAGGAAGTCGACGCCTTCGCCACCAGTCAGCTTCCGATTCGCCATCTTCGCTCATCATGGGCGAGAGAACGTTGTGATTGTGACGGAGCTGGAAACGGGCTGATGGATGTATAAAGCTGTTTAGTGATGCCTCTGAAGTATCCATGTTTACGTCCGTGCTAGTAAAATGACCATAAATTGGTGTTGGTATGCGCCCGCCGTTTGCATCAGGCTGATCTGCATTCGTAGAAAAGTTCATCTGCATCGATTGTGTCATTGCAGATATCCCGTTCGACCTTCGTCGAGTCATCTGTGGCCTTCTCCAGCTGCTCACCGAAGGTGGTGGCATCTCTGTCGTGTCCATAGCATCGCTTTCTGATGCATTGGCTCTAGTGGAGAGGAAGCTACTCGCCGTGCTCGGTTGTGAGATGTTGAAGGCGGAGAGATTAAATGCCGACAAGCTTGAGAGGTGCTCCTCTTCTTCAATGTCCTCGTCCGATGACTCAACCGGAGTCAGTGTCAGAGGTATCGTACAAAGCCCTGTCGACTTAGGTTTCTGCTTGAAGACCCTACGAGGCGACGAGGTAGGTGATATGCGGAGAGGTAGCGAGCATTGTCTCTAAACAGGAAGGAGTTAGTATAAGCCTTGAGGTCCAACGTGAGGCTTGACGGACCTTTCCAACCGGGGAACCACTGTAATCTCCCTCTTCTCCCTCTTCTCCGCTCTCGACAGACCGCGGACGCTTGGAAGACTTGGATAAGGGCATTGTCGGTTGCTCACTAGTTGACAGGTGCCTTATGCGGGGTGGGCGTTTCTTGGGGTAGGAAACGTCGAGAAGTGCAACGATTGAGGTTGTGCATTGAATGACGGCTGGGTCAAGAAGTGCTCGAACGTATTATACCATGGCCGTCGAGGAACATCAGACAGTCATGAGACTGACTTCATAAACATTGGCAGTATGAGACTTGTCCCAGGCTCGTACCTGAAACTTGGCGCGTGCCCGGCGACAAGAGCAGGTCAGGCCCAGTAGAGGGTGCAGCCAGAGCCACACAAGATAAGTCTCCTAGGATCAGGGAGGACCAATCTAGATACAGTTGGTCTGATCGATCAAGTTGGAGCACCGTTCTGAACGGACAAGAACGGACATTGTAGTGCCCTGGTGGATGCTATTATTATTGTTGGAACAAGTGTTGTGGGTACGGATACTGGCTGTACATGTCTCGTCAGACGAGCGCCGCAGTAGTTAGTCACGTTAGCTGACTGTCAGCATGGCTCAATAAGGTTTGGGTATGAGGCTAATGCTAACTGTCGTTGATGGTGAGACTGTTTAGTGTAGATTCGGCGCTGTTGGCTTCTCAGTTATTTTGTCACTCATCATCAAGCCTCCAATAATCAATTGACAGTAACACTCAAACATGCTTAGTTGACCGTACACATCAGGGAGGCCAGAAAAATTGTGACACAAGTGGACCAGTAACGCAGCAGTACCTAAAATGCAACAGCATGACTGACCAAGCCCTGGCACTCTTAATTGGATAATTAGTCTAGCCAAAGATTTCTACTATCCAATTCTCAACCTATAATGATAGTTTTTACATCTATAATCTCATTGGTTAGTAGAAGCATCCCTTTAGATCATCGCTGAAAAGGGAACCAAGAAGTTTTATCTTGATCTGAGTGTGATGCAGCGTCTGTATACCCCTGTAATATCTGCTCTCTTTTCATGGGTGAAAGGGTTGCATTTTAGGTACTGTTACGTTACTGACCTATTTACCTCATGTCTAGGCCATTTCACCGCCCTACGGCTGACGATCTGCGGAACCGGGTACTACGTAGCAGAAATCTCTCACCCACCAATAATTCCATGCTGATATTTGACTCACAATCCTGGGTTTATCTCACTCAGCTGAGAAGCCCATGCTCATAGAAAGGGTTGTCTTCTATCCACTACCTTGGCTGAAGAAATTTGACTTTTCTTCCTAAAACCAAAGACGCCTTGAAACACCGACTCCACTGATCCACCCCACACTGAGACGACTAGCCCAGCAGCCCAGCATGCCCCTCATAGATGCGACAATTGGGTCCGAGTTTAATGAAGAAATCAGAGGTCAGAGCAGCATACTATGACAACTAAATTTCCAGACCATTGACCGTCTACAGTGCTTGGTTACGATCCTCTGATACCTCCTGTACTTCTACAAACCGAAGTCCCTGCGGTACGTGCCGTCTGCCTTTTCCTATTGGAAACGGCTCACATTGTCTAGAGTGAGGCATCGATTCAGACGGTAAAGCGGGGTCGCAGGGAATGTATCGAAATCATTCACCAGCGAGATGACCGACTTCTTGTCATGGTTGGGCCATGCTCCATCCACGATCCTGCTACCGCCCTCGAATATGCTAGCAAGTTAAAGAAAGTCGCAGAAGAACTCTCTTCAGACCTTTCCATTATTATGCGAGCCTATCTCGAGAAACCAAGAACAACAGTTGGTTGGAAAGGTCTGATAAATGATCCTGACATCGACGAATCCTACAAGATCAATAAGGGTCTTCGAATATCACGGCAGCTTTATGCAGACCTCACCAGCCTTGGCATGCCGATCGCCAGCGAAATGCTGGACACAATCTCTCCTCAATTTCTTGCCGACCTGATTTCGCTAGGCGCCATCGGTGCACGTACAACAGAATCTCAGCTTCACCGCGAACTTGCATCCGGCCTCTCCTTCCCTATCGGCTTCAAGAACGGCACCGATGGCAGTTTAGGAGTTGCCATCGATGCTGTCGGTGCTGCAGCCGCAAAGCACTACTTTATGGGCGTAACCAAGCAAGGTCTCGCCGCCATCACCAAAACAAGCGGTAACGACGACGGCTTCGTGATTCTCCGGGGAGGAAGCAAAGGCACAAACTACGATGCAGAGAGTGTAAAGGCAGCCAAAGAGGCCCTGGCGAAGAAGAACCAGAAACAGGTTATGATGATTGATTGCTCTCATGGCAACTCGAAGAAAGATCACAGGAATCAGCCCCTGGTCGCCAAGAGCATTGCAGATCAGTTAAGACAAGGAGAGGAAGGGATCGTGGCGGTCATGATCGAAAGCAACATCAATGAGGGCAGCCAGAAAGTTACCAGTGATGGGTCTGCTGCATTGAAAAAGGGTGTCAGTATCACTGATGCTTGTATTGGGTGGGATACAACAGTCGAGGTGTTGACGCAGCTCGCTGAGGCGGTGAGAGCAAGAAGGCAGATTAGGGCGAAAATGGCAAGTGGCTCGAACGGCCAAAACGGGACAGCAAGCGCAAAAAGCAATACATAGATTTCGGAGAACTTCTTTGTCAGTGATTTAGTCGATAGAGGTACACGAATAGAAGGTTTGAGCTCTGCTTTCAACATAACAGATAAATCTGAATGGTTGTAAAATGTTCACCTCTTCATGGACTGCAGCAGTTATAACAGCATCTTCAGTGCACCTGCTACTGACATGCAGTTTGCAGCAGGATAAACCCTCATCACAACAGGCCTGGACGGAGGCGACACAACAAGCATCACCCATCCTCTCCGTCTGCAGCTTGCCAGGAACACGCATTTGTAGCTTCAAGGGCTGCAGCTCTTAACTCGGAGCCTCGGACAGTGTCAAACGTGTACGATGTGGAGACGGAACCTTTCTAGCATGCCCTGTATGCAAGCTGGTGCCTGCCGTGATGGTAGATGATGTGGCAGCTGGCATTGACTTTGTTGTGCCATGGAGTCTCGTTGCATCGACAAAAGGATGTCCTGAGCAGAGAAACGAGCGAGGATATTCGCTAGCTTGTGCAGCATGGATCATTTGTACACTCTCAAACAGATCTCGTATAAACATCACGACTGGTCCCTTCCTTTACCCCAGCCGAACCAGCTGACCTTTCCAGCACCAGTCTCCGTCCTGACGGAATTGGTGACATTGCTGGCCAGTACGTCAAGGGCCCCCCCTTGCGTGCCGGGCAAATGATCGACCTGCTTTTCGCCCGTTCTCCTCCGATCCTCGACCATGTCCCTCACGGCCTCGGTGACGCTCTTCCCATCATTCTTGTCTCCCACCCATCGCTCCTCCTCCAGTAGCCTTTCTGTGGGCAATACCTCCATCTCCGCTCTACTCTGCACCCTCCCATATCTTGCCTCCTCCTCTGGATTCAATCCCTCCTTCGGTCCGAGCCCTATCAGAGCTTTGCCCTTTCCCCACCAGCTCTCCCGCTTCTTCCTCTCCTTCTCCCGCTTAGCCTTCTCTACGATCTCATCGCCCGCCCTCTCCTGCTGCAGTAGATGCAATTGCTCGGGCGTTGCGTCACCACGGAGAAATGCTTGTTGAGCGTCTTGCAGACGCTGGAGCTCGCGGTCGATCCAGGCACGCTTTTGACGGCGGTGGTGGAGGACTAGGTCAGTCATTGCGTAGACGGATATTAGGGCTGCGATGCCTGTATAGAGTTGTGGTTAGTAAAATTGAAGTGGTATGGCGTGACGATTGAAAAGATGAGTACCTGAGAAACCGATCAGGCCATAGGCCACGATTCGATGTGTTTTGTCTGCTAGCATCCTTCCATATTCGATGGTGCGGTCGACAGGGGAGAGGCTAGCTTGGGATTTTGCGAGTCTGGATGCTGCGCGTAGGCGGGCGACTTTTTCTTGCGGGGTTTCATTGAGAGGACCGGGCGGTATTGTAGGTTTCTGGGATTGATGTGGTGTGGGGGGTTTGTAGGAGCCGAACTGTGGAGAGGTGGTAGACGATGATCGAGGTGGTTTTGAGGATGCGTGAGGAGATGTAGATGTGAAGCGAGTGTAGACGTCTGGGGCGGAACGAGACATGATGGAAAGACGAAGGGAAAGACTTCGGTTGTTTTTTATAAACTTTTCTCATCAACAGAGGACCATTGACGCTGTGAGCTCGGAAGCTCTACCAGTTGTATTGGGCGAGCTTCATGAACATGATGATCGCAATTTATTCCGCGGTTTCGGCCTTGGCGTTCGACATGGGCTGCATCAGCTTCATTCGAAACAATACACGACCTTCAATTGTATAGGCAGGGCCGGCAACCTGTGCAGCTAAGAGACAATGATTCCGAACTACTGTGAAGCGAATGTGGTTGCGCACCAGTCGTCGCTGCTTTTCTGGCTAAGCTGGACATGTCCTTGAAGGATTAAAGACAAAGCTGCTGTCTATGCAGCAAGGAGACATTTACTCTTGACCAAATACCTATCACCATGAATCCGTATCAGAATACACAAAATCCTCAATTAGCCTCGATTCTGCAGAATCTAGCCCAGTTCACCCAGCCGATAACCCCCAACCATGACCCAATCCCAGGGCCAGCGACTTCAGCTCCGTCAGTAGCCGTACACGATGTTCCTTCTACAGCTCAGCCAAACAAGACTTCATTAGCTGCACCAACTCGAGATCCGAGAAGACGTCCTACAATCCCACAGCCAGATTCTTCGCGCATAACTGAATGGCCCCCAGCAGTCAAATATGTCATGAACACACTGTCAAAGAATCCAGAAACCACTGCGAAGATCAACCGGCTTATCAAAAATCAACACGAAAACGAGAGGCAGTGGTGGGCAGGCAGGGAAGCATTGATTGCCAAGCACAAAGGCAGAGTGGAAAGCAAGAAGAAGGCGGATGATCTGCTCAGATCTCTGGGTGGAGCCAGTGGGCATGGCGTGGCAGATTCATCGTCGACAGCACAGGAGGAGAAGGCTGAACTAGAACGTTATGATAAGAAGGTTTATGCTGCACTCGGACAAATGGTGGCAGCGGTGGACAGAGAGTTGACGATGCTGAGGGTGCCTTTCTTCGCCATTAAGCATGATTTGGTTTCGAAGAACGAGGGAGAAGACGGCGTTCTCAGTAAGACCAGGTTGATGGAGCTGCAAAAGAAGATGCTGCAACTACTAGAGGATTTGTTTGGTGATTGAGCTGGATTCCTCTTGCGTCTCTTTAACATACAGGAATATCATTAGATCACGCATTTTACAAGTACAACACTTGTAAGGTCGAAATTGGAAGCACGCAGTGCCCAGCATGATTTCGTCGGGAAAGGTTCAACTCAATTCTTCCCTGCGGATGTGACGTCTATCTTCTGATGAGTCGCCTCTCATCTTCCAGGAATCAGATGAGCGTCCACCAGAGCAACACATACGCGGTGTCATCTTACCTAGGATAACCAACAGAACACTCACAGCGCTGCTTTTCACCTCGCCTGAACATGCATAACACAAAACGATTACCACACCCTTGAACTCACTTCGTTTCTTCATCACCCGTCATACATTTGCATCCTGCCTCCTTGCTCCAATAGCCTTCAACTATGTCGAAACCATCTGCAGATGCAGGCAATCAACTGCTTCGATTCGGCGGTCTTGCCGACTGTGTCGTCGTGTGCGGTGACACAGAGTTCAATGTGCGCAAAGATATCATTTGTCGCGGATCTCCTGTGCTGAAGCAATTCTGTGAGGAAGGCCTTCAGGTAAGAGCGATAAGCTCCCGCAATGGCCCCGGGTTAATGAATGCCTAGCAATTTGGTGCTATCCGTCTGGCGTTCGCCGACTATGATTTGCCCACTGTGTCACGAGTATTTCTCTACCTCTATACGGGGAACTACGATGATGGAATGTATCCCAACTTTGGTCGCAATACTAAGTCGATTGCCAGCTCGCCAGGTCAAGAGAGTATCCATCTGCAGCGGCATGACGGCAAGCGATCAGACAACAAGGACCCTACTGGTGACCCACAGCCAGTCTTTTCACGTAATGTTAATGCTCTGGTCGAAAGTAACCTGAAAGTCCATCTTTGTGCGAAGGCCCTTCAGATCAAGTCATTGGAGGCTCTTGCCCTGGTGAAACTCGAGTCCCGTTGTCTCAACGATCTTGATCCAGCAGATATTGCATCAATAATCAGCTACGTCTATGAGCATAGCACGCACGAAGACCTCGAATTACGAACCATGGTTATGCGTAGCTGTACAAAGAACATAGTTCTCGTCATGCGCGATGCAGAGATCGTGTCCCTACTGAAGAAGTACGAACCTTTGGCATCGAACTTACTCGAGGAGACATGGGCTTATGTTACCCAACAATCAATAACGGAGGAAAGGTCAAGGAAAGAAAATGAAACAGCAATTGTAAAGTTGGAAGCGGAGTGCCAGGAGCTGAGGAAGGAGAAAGAATCTGCCACAACATCGCTTGTCAAATACAAGGGACCCAATCTAGAGTTGAAATCACAAGTCCTGAGCTTGAAAGCTGGGACGGCGTCCCTAGCCTCTCAGAACGACTCCATGCGGAAGAAGATCTCGAGTATGACCTGCGAAAAATCGATTCTACTGGACGAACAAGTAGCGTTGAGGAAAAAACTCAGGTGGGAGAATGGCATATCGCGAAATCAGCAGCACAATCTTCAGCAAAAGATCTCGAGCCTACAAAACAAACTTGACAATGCAAACTCAAGGCTCCGGGACGCCGACCCTGCCAATCATGCATTGGGGAGGGTAAGGGGGGAGAATGAATCACTCAGAAAAGAGGTTAAATGGCTCCGGCGCATGCTCGAACATGCACAAAGGTTGGTCAAAGACACCACTGAATGTAGGCATTGTGACACAGCGTTTTGGGCGCTGTTGAAGGTCGATCTACACAAAGATGATGTTTATGTCAAGTGTGGAAGCTGTGGGCAAAAGCATTAGTTGCTGCCCTGCCCCTACGTTTGATCTTGTGACGCTTGGAATGGAAACTATGGCGACGTGGCAGAGTGATCAAGAACTAACAGGGGAAGATCTTGTTGTCGATCCGAGTAGGAGATCTTGCCGGGTACTTAAGGGATACATGTGCTGAAAGGTTAGCTTTTCGCTCGAAGGCAAACAAACATGTTGCCTCTCAAAGAGCAATTCATACTCACTCAGCATTCGGGTCTCTACTCTTAGGCTCCGAATTGTTTCTCTTATCTTTCTGACTGCAGCTCGTTGGCCGCCTTTCTCCTCCTCCTCCTCCTCCTCCTACCACAGTTTCCACTTCCTTCGACCCAGCCCCATCCCATCTATCCCACATATCCCGTGTTCCAAGCTTCTTGCATCCACAAACAGGCGTCAACCGATCCACTATCCAGCATCCTTTCGTCCATCATCATCACCACCACATGCACTTTCACTCCCTTCTGCCTCGTGCAGCTCTCTCTGCTTTCCCACTTGCTAGGCAACGGCATTGACCAGATAGAGACGGAAAAGCCCAAGTGTATGCTGGGGGACAGAGGAGAGACAAGAAAGTGGCAGAAAGGTCATAACTAGTCAGTGGAATCCTTGTCCGAGGTTATGAGAGCTTCATAGAGGTCTCTTAAAGAAGCTTGGGAACGAAAATACTCCAAGAAGGGAAAGACCGGCGACAGCTATATCACGGGAGCGAGGTAGTCGTCTGGTCCGGGGATCCAAAATTGCGAGAGAAAAAAACAGGTGGTGTTATTTCATCTCTTCAAGCCTTGGTTGCGTGAAATGCCCCCCTCCCCCCCCCAAATAATCATATCATAATCAAGTCTTCGTCACAGGACAACCAAAGTGTTCTTCGAAGCACTCGAGTCACTGTTTGTTGACACTCTTTGTTTGGATGCATCAAAATTAGCTTATTCACAGACCAGCACAAACACATGCACATTTGGTCCATGTACTGTCCGTACTCTTTTTCTTTCCTTTCAAAACTACTTTATACAGCTTCAGTTTCATTTTTCAGCTCATCAGCCACGCTGCACGGATCCATCACATACACCTTCACCAAAACCTGAGCTAGCAATGGCAGGAGTTCCACCAGGCTCACTGGAGAAGCTGCTCCACCAAAGCGACGAGAACGACTTCACCATCACCTGCAAAAACAAGGCGTTCAAGGTCGAGAAGGCTGTCATTTCTGCAGGCTCATGGTTCTTCTGGGCTGGTTGTAACTTGTCGTTCAGGGTGAGTACCCTGATCCTAGCTAATGCCAAGCAAATGAATGCAGAGATAACAATTTCACGTAGGAGAAGATGGAGAACCGGCTTGACCTGCCTGAGGAGCATGAGGACGTCGTCGCTCGTGTGCTCTTGTTTCTGTACACGGGGGACTACGAGGACCTGCAGATTCCGCGCTTCAGTACCGAGCTCCTTCCAGCTGCTGCATCATCGACCACAAGCTCTTCCAACGATCCCCTGATCGCTCCGTCTCCAAGAGGACTTGTAGCACCGCTCACGCCAGAGGACGACAATACTCCAGAGGATCATTGGATGAAGAATTGTCCGGGGTTCACTCTCAGCCAAATGCAGCGTTTCGGAAGCGAGGAACGTGAAGAAATGCGTGCGAGAGTGGAGTCGATGAAGCCAGCGGCCAACCCGGCAAAGCAACGAAAGCTGGTGCAAGCCCTGGAGAAGAATACTCAAGTTTACATCTGCGCCGACAAGCTCCAAATGGTTAAGCTGAAGGAGTGTGCGGCGGACAAATTCAAGAAGAGACTGTGGGCAATTGCTGACGCCAAGGACGCCTACCCAGCCGTTCGACTCGCATTGGAAGGCACACGCGAGGAAGACACGGTCCTGTGCAACGAGGCCCTGAGATACTGTATTCGCCATCACGAACGCATCGAGGTTTTTCCCAAGTTTCTCGCTTTCTTGCACGACACCGTCTCGTCCGCGTGGACGATTGGAGTTGAGTTGCAACGCAAGAATGACGACCTGCAGCAGAGTCTCGGGCAGAAGCTGAAGCTTTTGGGTAAAGAGAAGCATAGGGCTGAGGTACTCAAGGCGCAGGCAGACGACGAATTGGACAGCGTGGTGCAGTTGGTCAATGGGACGAAGTTCATGTCGGGCAAGAGATGCACAAATGCGGAAATGAAGCTCGAATTGCATACCAATAGCCTGGGGACGAAGCAGTATCAGCTGACCTGCGAGTGCTGCAACAAGCAGCAGCTGGGGGTTTATATCACGGTCGCGAGATTCGGAGATTCGTGAATGCGGATCATGCGTAAGAGTGGTGGTCTGGTGCACTGGTGGGTGTCCCATTCTATTTGACGACTGAATTATCCAGGCTGCGTCAACTGAAACAAGAGATTTTGATTTGGCTGTGGCTGGTAGAGGTAAGACCACAGGAGCTCTTTGTGTACCATATCTTGATCCTGCCTCCTGGTTCATTTAGTGCAGTTGGGCTTCAATTCAGAAGCACCAAACCTAGCACTATTAGTGAAAATGGATATGTGCATACTTTGCCACTGACCCCGAAGCTGTAAATCCACACCTTGAGGAACGAGCTGTTCAGAGAGTAATTCAACTCGAGAACTATGGAGTGTCCTGATAACCATGAGGGATAAGACGCGTACGACCAGACAGACTGAAATTATGCCATGCCAGCGTTGCCGGCTAAACATCTGAGCCCTCAAGATAGCACCAGAAGAACAAGGAATTCGGTACTATGCAGGCAACACATGCTGGGCTTGTAGAATGGTGAAGGCCTGATTCATTGCATACATCCTGCTGGCTGGCCTTTGTCAATATTCCGAGAACACTTGAGAAATTGATTCTCTTTCACCTGCTTGCAGTCTGGATAGTCCAGTCCATAAGAAATGTTCTTTAACTGACCTTTCGCTTTTTCAAACCTCTAACTAAACGCGTAGGAGACAGAAACACACCTAGCGGTACTGACTACGTTGGACAAATCGCAAAAGGCAACGCCGAAGCTTTACCTGGCTTCCCCTTCACAAATTCCAAATCTTGCAATGGATCCGGATTCAAGGTGGTCTCTCGAGCGCCTCCTAACAGAGCCGGTCTTCTCCGATTTCATCATCTCTTGCAAAGGCGTAGACTTCAAGGTTCATCAGGCATTCCTCGTCGCCAACTCAACGTTCTTCAGATCGGTGTGCACGCTCCCTTTCCAAGTGAGTTCCTCCTGAAGGACCAGGTTTGTCAACCAGATTTGCTGACGTAGAAGTGTCCTAGGAAGCCGAACAAAATCACGTTGACCTTGTTGATGAGGAGCCAGAGATCATCGCCAGAATGTTGTCGTATATGTACACCGGGGATTACGATGATGCGCAGATACCAAGATGGGCGGAGGAGCGGTGCATAGTAAGCCCGCCTTGCTCACAAACCCAAACTATCAAGGACAAAGAGGGACTCTATGGGGCGTCTGAAGTCCAGACAGAGAGCTCTGATGGCAAAATCCCAGCCGGTGAAGAAGAGTGGGGCAAGAAAATCTCACGATCGGGTAAAGAAGGCTCAAAAAAGGCGTCCTTGTCAAGGATGGAGGTGAACACACTGGTATATGCTTGTGGCGACAAACTCGGGATCCGGTATCTCAAAGCCGCAGCAACGGAAAAATTTGCGCGCTCGATCGCTGAGGAATACAAGTCGAAGCATTTCCAAGAAGCCATTGAACTAGTCTTCAGGGTCACGGCGCCAGGCGATAGCGAGATCAGATCCGAACTGCTATTGTGGTACATCCGGCATCGCGAGGCTGTCACCGGTAATCTGGCCAAGACAATGGCTGAACACGAACCTCTGACTTGGAAGGTCTATCTCGAGATGGGGGAGGCACTAGATGCACAGAAGGAAGGTTATGCTTCGTGCCTTGCAAAGCTGGATGCCAGGAACGCAGAGATCAAAGAAAAGGACGCTAAACTCAGAACAAGAGACGCTGAGCTCCGAGGCGTCCGAGAACCTGTCTTGGGTGCCAAGCTCACATTGTCAAAGATGAACATTTGAAGCTACACCAGATAGTCAACGGGTTCCTTGACACTTATTCTAGCATAGAATTCTGCAAGTCGTGCGGCATGAAATTCGGCAGCATCAAGGTCGACCGTCAGAAGATGTATGGCACAAGTGTCGATATCTATTGTGCTTGCACAAAATGTGGCAAACGACAAGACTGGGCAAGAGAATGAATGGTAGCATACCATAGCGCTCCGGCTTCAACTCCATGGTTGCCGAATAATATGGTGCTAGAAGAATTAGCTTTTAGCTGCCGTGATCAGCTTCGTACCACTGCAACAGTGAGCTAGAAAGGAGCTGGGATCGTTTTGTGACCGTTGAGTACATAGATAATCGTTTCGATACAAGGCTATTTTAGATTGCACCATAATGCAATCTATTAGTATGCGTCAAACAAATCCTGAATATCTGCACGTGGTTGGCAGGTGGGACTCGTTGGGAACCAGCCGTGCTGCATGAACATGTGCAACCACAGACTTCGGTCTCAACACTCCAGTGCGAAGACCACATGTGGTAGAAGATGGGATGTATTAGGGTGGGCACTCTGACAAGGATCTGGCTTGATCTCATGAATCAGCCTGGACACAAACAATGCTTGATAGAAGGCAAGAGGTCAATCCGGGTCCGGTAATCCTCATCGTTCTTCATTGGGCTATGTGTCACTCCCGCCGGCTACACTCAAGAGAACCACTGAATCAGAACCGGATCAGACATCCTCCCCAACGCACAAATACGCATGGATGAGTCGAAACACACCAAGGGCACCGGCGAAATTACATAACTTGCTGAATTAAGTTCGTTCTTGGAAGAATGAGGTCACCGCCGAGCGAGCGTCAGGGTGCCCGTGGAGCACCGTTGCGCAGTCCTTTCTTCGCGGTGTATAGGTAGAGTTGGGTTGAAGAAGGGCCACTATCAGCGCTTGCTGACAGCCTCAACAGACTCGCGTCACACATCAACTCATCGATGGACGTATGACGTCCGGAGCGTTGAGCACCTAGATTGGATAGAATAAGAATACGTGAAGTTGAGATAAGGTCCTTGACGTCGTGAATTTTGAGTCCAGACACTAGGCACACGTTGGGCGAACGTCTAGCAGGATAGGCCGTTCAACGCTCCGAAGTAAGCCAGCAATTAGCCGCGGGCACAAGGCATAGATTGGGTGGGGTGTACAATGTTTGAGGCTACCGCGAGTGTCGTATAGATACGATACACCTCGCTTGTATAACACGAGAAACGAGTAACGGAAGTCGATCCAATCGCAAAGCATGGAAGTCGTCGTATAGAAGCACGATGTATGCAGGGGTGGACACTGGAGACGGCTCGGTGCAAGGCTGGGGTAAAATGTGGCATCATCCGTCAGAAATCCGTCAGAAGAATCCCTCGTAACCAATCAAACATCGTGATGTAACTCACCGCCTAGCGTCACATTTTGTTGGGCCAAATTCTGCCAGATTTGTTGAAAAGAATTTACTAAGGGATTTCAGGCACAACAGCAGCTAAGTTTAAGCTTGGTCTACATTGATAATAGTCTTGATGCTCTGCGCAGAGTCCCCTGGGATACTTGCGCCTAATTTTACCCCGTCCTCCACCCTTCACACGAAATTCGACAGAGACGCAGTCAGAGCTCTGGGAACGAAGACCTAGCCCCTGCTCCTTCCTCTTTTCTCCTTCACCCCACACCTAACATTGCCTAGCCGGTCGAATTCGAAAAAAAGCTCACGTTCAACCTTTCCATATAACAGAGCTCACTCTGCCTCACGTTCTCTTCCTCATCACATCTCCCGTAGTGACCATCTTCCTTCACACCATACCAGACATAGTCATCGTACATCAGCGACAATACTATGCCTTCTAGTCAGCCCACTGCTGGCCATCTGGCTGTCAAGCCGGAGTACCTCTCCTCGCAACCAAGTCCTATGGCAAAACCGTCGGAGCCAAACCGAAACACCAAATATGATCCCAAAAAGCCCCACATCACCGACACACCCATCACCAAATCGAATTGGTACAAGCATGTCAACTGGCTGAACGTCACCCTCATCGTCGGTGTTCCTCTATATGGCTGCATCCAATCTTTCTGGACACCTCTTCAATTTAAGACCGCGCTCTGGACCGTTGCCTATTACTTCATGACCGGTTTTGGTATCACCGCAGGCTATCACAGATTATGGGCACATACCTCGTACTCGGCCACCCTGCCTCTTCGAATCTTCCTCGCTGCTATGGGAGGTGGTGCAGTCGAAGGTTCTGTCAGATGGTGGGCTCGTGACCATCGTGCCCATCACAGATACACCGACACCGAGAAAGATCCATACTCCGTCCGCAAGGGTCTCTTGTACTCTCACTTCGGATGGATGTTGATGAAGCAGAACCCAAAACGAATTGGTCGGACCGACATCTCTGATCTGAACGAAGATCCAGTTGTCGTCTGGCAACACAAGAACTACCTTAAGGTCGTGATCTTCATGGGTCTCATCTTCCCTATGCTTGTCTGCGGTTTCGGCTGGGGTGATTGGTGGGGCGGATTCGTGTATGGTGGAATCCTTCGAATCTTCTTTGTCCAACAGGCCACTTTCTGCGTCAACTCGCTTGCTCATTGGCTTGGCGACCAGCCGTTCGACGACCGCAACTCTCCTCGTGACCATGTCATTACCGCTCTGGTCACTCTTGGTGAGGGATACCACAACTTTCATCACGAGTTTCCTTCCGATTATCGCAACGCCATTGAGTGGCACCAGTACGATCCCACCAAGTGGACAATTTGGATCTGGAAGCAGCTTGGTCTTGCCTATGATCTCAAGCAATTCAAGAACAATGAGATCGAGAAGGGTCGCGTTCAACAGCTTCAGAAGAAACTCGATCAAAAACGAGCCAAACTTGACTGGGGTGTTCCTCTTGAGCAGCTTCCAGTCATCTCTTGGGATGAGTACGCTGACCAAGCCAAGAACGGTCGTGGTCTTATTGCTGTTGCTGGTGTCGTCCATGATGTCACTGACTTCATCAAGGATCATCCTGGGGGAAAGGTCATGATCTCGTCGGGTATCGGCAAAGACGCTACCGCCATGTTCAACGGCGGTGTCTACATGCACTCCAACGCTGCTCACAACTTGCTCTCCACTATGAGAGTCGGTGTCATCCGAGGTGGCTGCGAAGTCGAGATCTGGAAGCGAGCACAAAAGGAGGAGAAGGGTGAGGTTGTTCGCGATGAAAATGGCCAGAGGATCGTCCGAGCTGGCACTCAACCTACTAAGGTTCTACAAAATGTTGCTACTGCTGGAGCAGCATGAGAAACGATGTTGAAGAATGTGCATCAGTGGAGGTGCAGACGTTTTTGAGTTGTGGGCAGTCGTACCTAGTCTTTGCTCTTTTAGCGTTTCTTTCACATGTCAGACCAGGTCGAATGTCCTCTGGTCGAATCAGAAATACCCCTTACTAGCATTACATTGCATTAGATTTCTAAGCCTGAATCAATCACTTCAAAGGCTATCTCTTCTATTGGATACTTTGATGACTAGAATTGCAATTGGCTTGGTTCGTTCCCCTTGGTAGTTCCTCACCTTGTGTGTCAACTGTACTACATATGTACGAGTAGTACCTCCCAAGACTCCAAACTCTATCTTGCCACTCCACTTCTGTCGCATACCCAATTCCGCTTGTTCAACATTGCCTTGTCTTTCTTCCCGGCCTTTCTGTGTCTATCAAACAAGACCTTTCAATCAGACATTCCAAGGCATTGGCCCACGTGATAGACTAAAACCGAAGGCCCTCTATATCAAGCTCATGCATGGCCACACTACCAACATCCTCGTCAATTGTATTGAAATAACCAGCTCATGGACCTGGTCTGTAGCAGTATTAACATGGCTCGGGCCTTCATTGCTACATAGCCGCAATGCCGTCTTCAACATTCACGAGCGGACCATTGCGCTATCTTTCACATACTCTACGTGGTGAAAGTGACGGTGATGGGTGGGGATACGAGACTTGCGATATACCTCTCGTATGCCCTTATATGTACCTCCTAGCGCTCGGGACACATTTTGCTTGCTTGGGCTTGATCCTGTAGTTTCTGATCCTCCCTGACATGTCTACTCTGTCCCCTTTTGTGTGTGTCTGCGGATGGTGCTTGAGACCTCGGGACAAAGTTCTGACCGTCGCGCGACTGGCCGTTTGGATCGAAATCGCGGAGGAGTCGTGTTATATACTCGGGTAACCTCTCCTCTCCTCCCGACCGCTGGCTTACAGCCCTAAATATGCACGATCCCTATCTGCGTGATGACAATGCCTGTCAGCGTCTTACTTGGTTGGAAGCGGACCCACGTATACCACGGAGAGTCTTCATCTGTAGGAGGCTAGCACTGACAACGATTTTCTTCAACTGTCAACGCTGGATAGGTTCAGGGTGAGTAGTAATGTGATGACCTGATTACAAGGGGAGATGAGGATAGCATACCATGTTTCATGCCTTAACAGGTCGATCTAGTCCGTAGGCCACTGTGCCCTCTTGAGGTTGAGGCAGCATGTATGCATGGTACATACCAGCTCGTAAGCCTCTCCCGTCACCTTATACACGTGACATATGATGTTGGAAACGTTGACTGGGGTTTGACCTGTTTTGCTTCGCTGCCAGGCATGTAAGTCCTGAGCTTTTTGCAGCTAACGAACGACGTCGTGGCTGACTTCTGAAGAAATAGGGCGTGGGTACCGGTTTGATATGCCACGTCCAACGTCCGTGCCCCATCCTGCCACCTCTGGACCAGACTGCGAAGACGTGTTTCAAGCTCGTTGCTTTATATCCCTTAGCGTCTGATAGCTCCTAGCACAAGTCTGATCCTGAAGCCTTTCATTTTGTCCAAACGCTCGAGTAGACTAGCTTTTGTGATCTTAGAAATCCCCTTGGAGTAGAGACTAGGTACCCATCAGGCCTAGCAATGGTGGCACACTCTTCCGCCCACACACTTCTCTCGCGTTTCAACGAGTCTTTCGGTACTTCTCTCTAAGTTGCCCTAGTCCCCTTGTAAGCCTAGAGGGAGATCGTGGTTGTTCGGTGAGGCTTCGGAAAATTTCTGGATTGGACGTGTCCCGAGCAGGAATAATCTCTTCTCATTTGCGGAGCTGTAGGCAAGGGGAGGGAGGTACCGGTATACTGGCCTTGCATGATGATGAGCTGTTCTGGGTCGTATCGCTTCTGTCCACGGCCGTTGAGTGGCCGTAGTAATATAGTAGGTAAGTAGAGGGGTGGAACTTGCGCGGGGGAAAACCGAAAAAGGGGCTGGTGTGTGGTAGAAGAAAATTAGCTCTCTAGCAAATCCTTGGTGCTTCTGCTGCCTATGAAATCTTTGAAGCGGTTAGCAAGGATAAGAAGAACGATGGTATGATTTCCAGGTCGAACGAAACAGTAGGGAACCACACTTGCTGTGGAGTCGATGTGTATAGCTGACGGAAAGTGACGAAAGTAGAATTGTGAGAAACGAAGGGTTAGTACTACTTATGATGGTTGGGAAAATGACGAGGTGTTCAGTACGATCCGAAGAAGGCAGGATTTGGCCTTGAGAATAGTAAAAGAATCAGTGGAAGAAATATATCCTAGTCTCATAGGCAGATGGTCCTCAACACCGGGGTATCCTATTTAAGGATGATAAGAATGCAGGGCGTTGATCACAGTGAGAAATTCGATGTCATGCTCCGGAGTATGCAGATCATAAGAGTCAGTCCTCACCAGCAAAGCCAAAAACAGACAGAGGCACCAGCAACTCCATCTTGCAAATAGAAAAAGCTTGTGGTCTTCGAGGCCGAAGAATTCACCCCTGTGTCCGAAATAGGCAACAAGTAAAATGCAAAAAGCTGGACCATGGAGGGATTCGAACCATTGACCAACTATTGATGTACTAAAACTGACTGCCACCCAGGATGACACTTTGTTCCTGAGTGGTCCTCAACTCTTTCTCATTCCTGTGCTCGCCCCTGCCATGCCCACTCATGTTACTTCTAGCTTCTCTCTCTATTCCTCTTTCCTATCTTCGCTTGCTCTATATCGGCCTCGCAAAAAGGTAGAAGTAAAAGAAGGCGCGGGCCTTCAGGGGAGCAAAACCTGATACCCGCCCGTCCCCGAGAAGATCTCGGTTAGGGAAGACACGAGAGGAAACCGTAGTAAGCCCGGAGGTAATTCTCAACGTAACTGAAGGCCGATTTTATTTCTCTTGGCGCAAGGGACCGTTCGAATAGAGCTTAAGCTTGATACTACTGGGCCACCATTGCAGTTGTTGGATTATGGTTTTTTCAATATATATATTGTTTGAAAATCGGGCAGGGCCGCACGTTGTCAAGTGTTTTGGGCTTTTGCTGGGCAGTAGTTCCTCAGACACGAGTCAACATGTATGTTCTCTCTCGTAACTGATGCTTTTGATACTGATGCTTGATTTTGCCAGATCTTGAGATAACGTTCGACATCGGGTTGGGGTCGTCAAGGGTCGCAGCTTTGATCATCCTTTCGCCTCGTCCTTCATGTTTGCTTCTTTCTTCATATGTTTCTTTCATGCTTGCTCTTCCTCACTCTTTCCTCCTTCGCTCCCTTCTCTAGATTCTCCCCAACCTCGCTGTTTCCCTTTCTTGCTTTGATATAACTCTGTCATAAGTTCTAGACCTTTACATCAACGATGTAAGAAGGAAATGCAGGGGTGACCATGGGACACACTACTCTGGTCAACGGTTCTCTTGCTACCTGCTACCACTGATGGCTTTCTCTAATATCGAGCAGGGAGATACTTACTATACGACCGCATTTCAGACAGACGATAAAATTCTGGTCTTCACGTCACCTACGCCTCCCCCAGAGTCCTCTTTATCCGCAACGTCGCTATGGTATGGAGATAATGTCGTCCCTGGATAAGTGCGCAACTTCCGATGTTGTATGTATGGTGTTCTTCCTCTTCGTACCACCTTACAGATTATGCTTGAAGTCTACATCGCTGAAGTATGAAGCCTTTTGAAGGTGTTGCGCATGCTGCTGCATCCCTGACTTTTGGGAGTGGAGGCCGATTCGGCGAACAATCATAATGGCATTGACGTTTGACAATGGTGATCACGGAGGACGAGGCAATGGTCAGGGTATTGGATCACTGCCGAATCGTACAAGGGTGCTTGTGTCAGCTCCATTCAGCCTTTACAAGCAGACAGGACGTCCAGAAGGACAGTGGAGAAGGGACAGACAAGAGATTGTCCTCCCAAACCAATCGGCAGAATACTCCCAGTAGGCTTTGCCATAATCGGTCTGGGGCTGTACTGCAAACTACAGCGGGGGAGGCGAACTTCTCAGTACCACCTGGAGTCTACGCATTTCCAGGGCGATAACAGGGCACGCGGGATGGGGGATGGGGGATGGTTCAAGTCGTTAAGCTAAACCTATACGACTTTGGCACTTAGCTGTCCCCCTGCTGCTACTTGATAGCCTAGACCGCTAGTTACACCTCAAAGGTTTGATGGCTAAAGTTAGGCCCAGCTGTCCTCCGTGTATGAGTGGTTGTGGCAGATCTTTTCCGTAGTTAGAGAAGACAAGTTCTGCCAGTTACCGGTAAGACTTACTCCTGCGCTCCCCTCTCCCCCAAGGACTCCATCTCGAATCCGTCGGCCTCGATCTTCCTCCCTCACCTTCACGAATACACACTTCACGGACAGGACGGAAAATTGCAGGTTCGGCCTCGATATTTCCGGTACTCATATCAGAGCAAAAATAAGCATCCTTGACCGCCTGCGCACTCATCCATTCGATCCATCTCAACTTCTCCTCCTCAGCCGACCTCTCCATCCGAGCCTTCATCTCCTGCGCACCTTCTCGGATGAGTATGAAATGCTTCTGAGACCTCATGCTCTACCATATCACCACTTCACGCCAACTTACTCCGAAAGTGCCAAATACACCAGCCACCTTCTGTCTGTCTTCGCAACGACAATCCTCATTCCACCCAGCTGCAAAGCCAGATTCTAGATACACAGGCTGCAGTGCTTCGACCACCATTGGAGCGCTTGTGACTACCGGATGACAGATATCGAGTGTCGAGTCTTGTTTGAGGTAGTAATGAGGCGCAAGTGATCCGACCTGGTCTCCACGCTCCGCCATACACTCCTAGCATACCAATCATCAAGAGGAGGTAAACTGTCATACTATGACAGAGACCTCCTCCTCGATCGCGACCTATCCATCACAGCATCCAATTCCGGTCGCAGTTCCTTCCGTCGCATCGCCTACTCTAAATGGCGGCCTTTCCGATGCGGTAATGCAAGATGACACCGAAGATTACACCATCAAATGCATTTGCTCCTATGGTGACGATGACGGCAATACAGTCTACTGTGAGAAATGCGACACCTGGCAACACATCGTTTGTTATTATCATGGCGAGGAAGTTCCAGAAGTTCATTTCTGCGCAGATTGCGATCCAAGACAGCTGGATGCGAAACGTGCCACAGAAAGTCAAAAGCGAATGCGAGAACACGTTGGTGGTGCTGACCGCAAGGCGAAACGTCCACCTCAGAAGAGCCACAAGAAGAAGAAAGATTCAATGGCCACTCCTGAACAGACAAATGGTCTTCACTTACATAGCAGACACGAATCTGTCTCAGCTGCGCGAGATCAGCCACCTCCAGCAAAGCGAGCAAAGACAAGCCACCGAACCTCTGCCTCTATTGTCTCGATGAACGGTGTGCCAACACTTCCTGAGCCGCGCAAACGAGCTTCGTCGAATGTTAATGCATATCCGAGTCCAACAAAGTCTCCGCTCGGCCAGCCGCTACACCCACCAATCCCAACATACACCACCGAATTTTTGAACCTTTACGACAATGATCGTGGTAAGAACAATATTGATGATGGCCAGAACGCTAGGACGTATTCCAATTCTATGTCCATGGCCGTCACTAATAAATTGACTTCGTGGTACGACAATCCTTTTGCTTTGAAACAAGACACAGGCAAACAGCACCAAGAGGTATTTCACCATTCTGATCAACCCCTGAGGCCTGAGACTTGGCCACGGGTTGTACTGAAAGAGAAGACAAACACCGAGACACAGTATGCGGGTCGATTTCCCAAATGGAAGTGTATTATGCTGGACACGAACGTGAAAAAGGATGAATTCATTGGAGAGATTAGAGGTGATATTGGTCTTTTTGAGGACTACTGTTTCGATCCAGATACTCGTTGGAGTGAGCTCCGTCATCCCGAGCCTTTCGTCTTCTTCCACCCTCAAATTCCGATCTACATTGACAGCCGGGCCGAAGGTACTCAATTACGCTACGTGAGACGGTCCTGTCATCCAAATGTCAGTTTGAAAACCTTTGTTACGGGCGAGCGTGATTTTCATCATTGTTTTGTCGCAAAGGAGAACATCATTGCTGGAACTGAGCTTACCATTATGTGGTACCTTGATCAGATATTCTTAAACAATGGAAGAGTGAAGGAGGAGAATGGTGATGAAGAGGAAGCGAAGCGCCGAGCAACCTACTTCAGCAAGATTCTGGCCAATTTTGGTGATTGTGCATGTGATTCCATGGAATGCTCGCTCAAGAACTTTGACCTGCGTACGTCGCCTGAATACATTAAGAAGGGTCGCAAATGGCGAGGGAGGATCAAGAGTGCAGCCTCACCAATAAGTACAGGACAGGCGACAAATAGTCGTGCTAATAGCGAGCACATCCAAATGACAGAGGAGGAGGATCAAATAGATAGTCGATCAACATCCGGCTCGATACGGAGCAAACCTCAGAGCCGAGATATTACGCCGGCCCATCCGGGTCATACCGAGCAGGGTCAGGATCCTAGCCTTGGTATGTCCGCGAGAGAAAAGAGGAAGATCCTGATGGCCGAGAAAGCTTTTGAGGACCAAGAATCAAAGAAGCACAAGGCGAAGCGAAAGAGAACCAGCAACGGTCCTGTGCTGAGCACACCAACCCCTGGGTCGAAGAATGCCACAACATCTTTGCCAGTAACACCGAGTCTAATGTCCAAGCCACCCAACCATGAAATTACTTCGACCAACCACGGCACAGACTCTCCGACTCTGAATGCTCCGCTACGCCATACCTCAAACACGTCGCCCCACAAGTCATCGACACCAAATATCCCAAAGCCCCCACCTCGCTATAAGCGGCCAGCATATGTGGACCGAGGAATGCAAACGGATCCCGAACCCAAGGAGGAAGAGACCGAGGAACCAGAGCGGACTGGACCACAACCTGAGTGGTTCAAAACTTGGCAAATGCCCCATGTGAGGCGTACCAAAATGTATCAGGAATGGGAGCGGAAGGACAGAATTAAATGGCAGGAACTGAAAAAGAAGGTAGAAGCTGGTCTTGCGAGCCCCTCTGCAACGATTGTCCCAACGTGGCTGGAAGAGAGACGAGAAGAAGACAAGCGCCGAGCGGAGAGGCGAGCAGTCAAGGAGGCTAAAGAGAAGGAAGAAGCTGCAGCAGCAGCCATTGTCTCTCCATTTTCCGTGGTCTCAAATTCCACCAGCCCAACAGAGGAATCCAAACCAACAATACCCGCGTCAGCCATTCAGCTACCGCCGCCTCCGCTGCCCTCTCAAGCTGCGCATACCCACCAGAGCGTGAGATCGCCTAATGACCACAAACTCCAGCTTTCGTCGTTACCACCTGTACCTACCTTCACCAATCCTGCAAGCTCAGGCGCACAATCATCCACGGCGCTCTCGCCCACGCCGACCACCCCTTCTGTGCCGCAATCACCATTTGCATATGGCGGAGCATCACAGTCCTATCCTGCTCTATCTGCTGGAGCCGTGGCGCCAAGTCCTGTCAAGAAGAAACTAAGCCTCGGAGACTACATGAGTAGGAGGAGTAACCTGGTTACCCCAGCAGCCGAGAAGACACAAACTCAAGCGATGGCAACGACAAGCCCGACTCCTACATCAGGCGCAGCGCCAGATAAATCAATCGTCGAGCAGGCTCCGAGCAATCCTCTGGCCGCCGATCCAACTCCTCCTGCAGCGATGGCGAACCCTGTTGACCCTATCAAAGTCGAAGCCCAAGCCTTGGACTATGTTGAAGGCCCCGTGGTCACCCATCGTCCTGTGACAAAAGACGAGAGTGCCTTTGTTCCACCTCCTGCTTTGGCAGCCGTGCCCAATCAACCATCGGCTGCTCCATCCATGCCCCCTGCATTGAGCAGCGTACTTTCAAACCTTCATGCGCTAGCTGGCCATGTAGCTCGGCGCGATTCTGCTGGTTCGTGACTCGTAGGACCTTGTACGATAAATGATGGATTACCCGGTTGAATTCTAGCCTCTACTTCGGAGTACTCGCTAGATTTGCCCTCATGGAAGTCTTACCTCATGGAAGTCTTACCTCATGATGGCTGGGTTGAATTGACGGTGTATCATGATATTGTGGGTTTGGAAAGCGGGTTGGCGCTATGGTGTTCCGTCCTCTAGACGTGTTTCTTCTCTGTGAGCGAGTCTTCATTCACCTGTTTTGCTTTCCGAGGGCTTTCTTGGCTCTATCAACGAGCTTTGTACATACTTCTCCTTCGTTTCTCTCACCACCCACACAAACAGATGATGGTAACGAGCAGGAGAGCTAGAGAAAGTCTCCACTGCCACCTGGCCAAGCGCACCCCAATATGTTCTCTGGTTGACACGTGTTGTCCCTCGAACTTATTCGTTTCAGCCTAGCTGGGTGGGTGTATGCCTGAACTAGCATTGTTCAGAATAGCTCAATCGCAAGAGACGACAACAGAGTCAGTCAAACAATCGACGAATTGATCACGATCTCCAAATGAAAATGGTGGTACGCTTCGAACCAATACCCGATCAATCCTCCACCAACCTCATTCCTCTTGTAAGAACACACATGCACAGACAGCGACCCTGACCGCTTCACGGGCCTTTCCCCTATTCTTGTTCAATACTGCTCACTTCATCTGTCTTACTCTTTGTGCGCGCCTCTCTCTTCCTGTCCTTCTCCCACTTCTTATGCCTGTCTCTTCTCACTCCCTCTTTCCTCCCTCTTCCTATCCCGCTTTCTCTGACTTATCACTCCTCCTTTCTGCAGCATTTTTTTACAAGTATTATACAGGCGAATTCGGATGAGGGGTACCCTTAAGCAATGTTGGAGATGATTGATCAGTATACCTGGTCGGTCTTGGTTGACTAACATGTCTATCTACCATACGCACGCAACTATCGTTTTTCATGGAACTGAACAACATGATCGGTTGGCTGGCGGGACGCTTTGAGTGCGGGAGAAGCAGAGATGAGGCATGGTAATGGTCTTGAGGTACGGAATGTCTGTACTCAATTGAGAAGGGAGAGCAGAGCAGCAGGTCAGGTTGAGCAGTTGGCTTGAACGGGTTTTTGAAGCAGTGATACCTTGGTTTGCTTACTTTGCTTCCAGCTCGATGCTTTCGCTTGCCCTAGGGAGTACGGTTTGGGTCTCCTTGCCTATGGAATCTGGTTGAAGTGGGGAGCCGATGATGAGAAAGGTAAGGAAAGAACTGGAATCATGGGTTGAAAGACGTGTTGATTGCACAGTATGGATAGCTGCGGAGCGAAGCGGGAATAGACTTGGGATATCAGGTAGAGGAGGTATCGGTCGTTTCAGAAATAGTTCAGGAAATCGTAATTTTTAGTAAAGAGGCGCTGGGTCAGGAGTTGTCTTACGGTACAGCGCCGGATATGTGGGAGAAGAGAGCAGCATTTGCAATGTGAGAACGTTTGGTTTCGACTTGGGCACTCGTGGGAAGCGGGTGGAGCCTCTACTTTGATGCAGCCGTTTTTGTTGCGATGGTACATATAAACTCGAAACCGACAACTGGATATCACCAACTAGATGGTCATTTACACTGCTCACAATGAAGAGATTGCATTTGGCATCCTAACATCACAGTTTGGCAAACTTTAACCGGTCCGAAGGAAATAGATAAGAAGCCAGCGCCCATTTGCTTCAAGAACGAACTTGTAGTGGATGAGTTAGATCCTGGGGTCGGGCATCAGCTTGTCATCCTAGGAGTTGCTTTCCTTGCAATGTTCACAACCACCATCGGTTTGCCTCGCCAAAGAATTCCAGCAATGTTTTAGCTAACGGCTTCACAAACTAGTAATGCTAATCTGTTTCCGTCCCAAGAACCCTTATGAAGCCCCATAGTCTGGCGTTTGGCAGACATGATGCTTGCAATCTTGACAGTCCCTTTCTACTGCAATATCTCTGCTAGCAGTCTATCTTTGAAGCCCAGGCCGTTCTCGCTAATGCATAGCGAGTTTATGTTAGCTGTCACAAGCGATGATCCAGATGCTTTTTGCGAGTGCAGTATGAGCCATTTGCCATTCTTTCCCTCGTGGAAATACTGAGATCTTGATCGACTATGGGATGAGCCACCTTATCGACGACGTACTTCAAGAGAAGTGCTCAGGCTCATTGATTGCAATGGGCAAAAGCTGGCTCACCTTGTCCTTCAAATATGCTAGACCACATAGGCGTAGATGGAAAGATTGGTGTGGGTCTGTTCCTCAGCAATCTGCGCCAAATAGTGTTCGGCGTAAGCTGTATAGTAAGCGCGATTGTCCTTGAATGGACATGCTGGTCCGAGAACAGGGGCCTACTTGCTTGCTAGCGGACAACGCGGATTTGGGGGACTGGTGTTGTAGGGATGCGTTTGTATTGAAGGGATGGCGATATCGATCGATTAGAAAGTCCGCTACTTCGCCGAGGACTTTCGCAAGCTCTTCTATAGCCAAGAAACCAGTAGAGCGGTCCTCATACCATTGTTTGCCAGACATCTCTTCTAGTCCGAAGCGAGTACGCAACCTTTAGGTTCCTTGAAAGCACGTAAGTCCCATCACCCAATGCTGTTGCTTTGACATTCCTGGTGACAAGGGTAACAACGTGGGTGTCAGATATCTACTCGTAGGTGTTCTTTGAATGCTAAAAGACCAACCGCAACAGGGACACGGACCAACCATGACGGGAAGTGGCATCGAAGACTATACGGAGACGGTAGTGGGCGCCTCCCACATGGTCAGCTCCATGATCAAGGGTGTACATCTTTATCTCCCCTCAAGCCTGCCACCAGTTGGCAGACACTTATGGTTGATTGAGGATCGAGTTGCAATATCGCATTCTCTGCCTGCTTCATAGATATTTTCCGTAATCTGCCATGTCAGAAAACAGGAAACCACAATCTTATGATTCAGACCCAACTGCTCTGGATTGTGCACGTAAGATTCTCCGTCGACACAGGATACTTACGCGGGCTTCTTCCAGTCTGGTTCGTTAAGCTCTGTCCGAATGCAACCACCCCATGCATGGCTGGTCAGACATTTGGATGTGGAGCATCTCAGCCCAAGCGATGCTGGTGAACTTGGCTACACCCTCGTGACTGTGTAATAAGCATGCCTCGGTCGAAGTACGGCTGAAGGTTGCAATAGATATGTGGTGTGAGTTTGGAAAAGTTTGTATCCCAGGTGTTGGGAACAATTGGGCTGCTTAGTAAGTGAGGGAGAAAGAGTATGCTGACATCGTTCCAGCTCCAGACCAATAGTAGCCATCTTCATCTTGCTGACGACCTCGACGGCTGCCGATATCGGCACAGGTACGTAATTCTTGGATCTTCTGCGGCATCGTTACAGAATAAATACCCACGTTGATTTATATCGTCAAAGTGCAGAATTGCAGTCAAGATGCCTTCTGCTGTGCAAAAACCAAGGACGCTGTACGACAAAGTGTTCCAAGACCACATCGTAGACGAGCGAAGCGATGGAACTGTTCTCCTCTACATAGGTGTGTGGTACGGCCTTAGTGATGATCATTGCAGCAAACTGAACTCTTCAGATCGCCACTTAGTGCATGAAGTCACCTCACCTGTACGGTTTCTCCTGTCTCCCGTCTGGGAAGCCCATTGACACTTTACAGCAAGCCTTTGAGGGATTGAAGAAAGCTGGGCGCAGAGTTCGCAGACCCGACTGCACGCTTGCAACAACTGATCATGTAAGCGACACAGGAGGAATGGGACTTTTTCATGCTAATGGGCAGTTTTAGAACGTCCCCACAACTCCACGAAAGAACTTCAAAAACGTGGCCGAGTTTGTCAAGGAAACGGATTCACGAATCCAATGCGAGACATTAGAAGAAAATGTTAAGGATTTTGGCCTTACGTACTTTGGCCTTGGAGACAAGAGACAAGGAATTGTGCACATCATTGGACCTGAGCAAGGATTTACCTTGCCAGGGACGACTGTTGTTTGCGGTGACAGCCATACGTCAACGCATGGCGCATTTGGTGCCCTGGCTTTTGGGATCGGTACAAGTGAGGTTGAACACGTTTTGGCCACACAATGTCTCATCACCAAAAGAAGCATGAATATGCGCATCCAGGTTGAAGGCAGACTATCCCCCGGCGTTTCTAGCAAGGACATCATTCTTCATACTATTGGGGTGATCGGCGCTGCAGGAGGAAATGGGGCTGTCATTGAGTTCTGCGGTTCTGCCATCCGACGCCTGAGCATGGAAGCAAGGATGTCGATTTGCAACATGTCCATTGAAGCTGGTGCTCGTGCTGGCATGATAGCCCCAGATCAGACCACTATTGATTACCTGAATGGCAGACCTCTTGCGCCGAAGGTTGACAGCAACGAATGGAAGAAAGCAGCCAAATATTGGTTGAGCCTAAGGTCCGATGACGGCGCTACCTACGATACTGAAGTCTTCATTGATGCCAAGGATATAGTTCCAACAGTGTCTTGGGGTACCTCGCCTCAAGATGTGGTTCCTATCACAGGTGTTGTGCCAAATCCTACCGACTTTACAGATGAGAACAAGAGGAAGAGCGCAGAACGGGCTTTAGACTATATGGGACTGAAGGCGGGTACACCAATGCAAGACATTGAAATCGACAAGGTTTTCATTGGTTCCTGTACCAACTCACGCATTGAAGATCTCCGAGCAGCGGCACGAATTGTTGATGGTAAAAGGGTTGCATCAAATATCAAACGCGCAATGGTAGTCCCCGGCTCTGGCCTTATCAAGGAGCGAGCTGAGGCGGAGGGCCTTGACAAGATATTCACTGACGCCGGGTTTGAGTGGAGAGAAGCAGGCTGCTCTATGTGTTTAGGCATGAACCCAGACATTCTATCACCCCGAGAACGCTGCGCGAGCACCTCGAATCGGAATTTCGAGGGCCGTCAAGGTGCCCTTGGCCGAACGCATTTGATGTCTCCTGCCATGGCTGCGGCTGCTGCTGTGGTCGGAAAATTGGCTGACATTCGAAAGCTTGCAAATGAGAATGCAACACCTGCAAAAGCGTCACCCAAGATGGATGTAGCTCCAACCATTGAGGATGTTGACAGCGAGGAGGAGCTTGAACGGATTATGGACATTCCGGAAGATAATCAGCCACATGTCAATGAAGCTGCTATGAAAGCCGCAAGCGGCTTACCAAATTTCACCAAATTGAGAGGAATCGCGGCTCCAATGGACAAGGCCAATGTCGACACGGATGCTATCATTCCAAAGCAGTTTTTGAAGACTATCAAAAGGACAGGTCTGGGTACTGCGTTGTTCCATCCTCTGAGATACAACGAGGATGGTTCAGAGAATAAGGAATTTGTCTTGAATCAGGAACCATATCGGCAAGCAAAAATCCTGGTGGTGACAGGACCTAACTTCGGCTGTGGCAGCTCACGTGAGCATGCGCCATGGGCGCTTCTTGATTTTGGCATCAAATGTGTCATTGCACCCTCTTATGCTGATATCTTTTTCAACAACACATTCAAGAATGGCATGCTACCTATAATCATGTCAGATAAGGATGCTCTCAACAAGATCGCTACAGAAGCCAAAGCTGGCCATGAAATCGAAGTCGATCTGGTGAACCAAAATGTGAAAGATGCACAAGGCAACAAGCTGGCCGACTTCGATGTCGAGGAGTTTCGAAAACACTGTTTGGTCAACGGCCTGGACGATATCGGACTCACAATGCAAATGGATGACCAAATTAGGAAATTCGAGAATAAGAGAACGTTAGATACACCATGGTTGGACGGAAGTGGCTATCTGAAGAGAAACAGAAGTGGAGCTGTGAAGGTTACGGCAGTGCCTGTGCCGACCACGAACAGGGGAGAAGAGAAGACTGAGCCATTGGAGTGGTGACGGTGTGAAGACTCTTCTGCAAACCATTATGCATAGTAATCTATAACCATTTCCGTCCCCTATAGCATTATTCGCCACCGTGCAGTTGCCAGACGCTTGTCTAGAAGACATGTCTAGCAAGCGCGTGTCCACGACCTTTGTTTCTGCGAGTTAGGAGATAGCGTTGTAAGAAGAATGCCGCCAGCATATAGCATCAGGAGTCCCTTCGACAGAATGTCGCTCAGATCCTTCAACCCCTTTTGCAGAATAAGAATAAAGATCTTGCCAATTCATCCTTCAGCGGAGGCGTTTATGGTGTTGCTTGTTGTAAACCCAATGTGCGCTCTGATGGATCGGAATGGAGACAGTCCAGAGAAAGCAGGAAACAAGAGCAAGTCTCGCTAAAGTGCAATCAGATCATGAATGAAATCGTTCAGTCATATCAATTTCCAGTAGAGCAGGCCCCCGATGCTCACTTCTAGTGGTACGAGTTGGTCCTTGGTCCTCAGAAAACTGCGCTGCTATTTGTTCAGAAGTCTCCAGTGCAAATTTAACTCTGTGTGTGTGTGTGTGTGGTAGTGAAGCTGATACGTCGACGTCTTATGTATCCCTTTTCGTTGTCTAAAGGGGTTGTCCTCTTCCGGCTTGTTTAGCGGTAAGTTAATGCGAATACATCAAGACCAGGTATTTACCGCAAGTTTCCCAACAATCCAGATGCCAGCAAACACAGACGTCACCAGCCACCCGCCAATCACACAGGTACTTCAGAATGCAGGAAATGAGCGGCATGAAGGAACCGATAAATTGCATATTCCAACTTACTACGTATTGCCACCCTGTGAGGTGTTGACCAATTAAAAACGCAGACAATATGCATCATGCGTCTTATCTAGCGAGCCGTTGCAAATCTGCAAGGGTGGCTGCAGTAGATGATATGTCGTTGCAGCGGCTGGAGCAGTCTTAACTACTTCGAACGCAACCTTCAAGTGTCCAGCTAATAGTGTGGCCGTTCCCTGGTGGCAGCATGTCTAACCCACAGAAATGGAACTTTGCCTCTACACCTTTACTGCTCCCTACTTCACCTCTAGGGCCATCAACCGTCCAGTTCAAATAAACCAGACCGTTGCACCCCGCAAAATGCGCCATCATCACCTTGGCCGTTTCGAAAATGAGAGGAGACTTGGAGGATGGATAAGGACTCCACTTTAATTCCCCCAAATGCGGACATAAATTAGTAGGTTACGAGGCGTGTCAGATAACCAAGCCTCCGCGTTGTTGGCTTAGCGATACGCTGGGGCTGAACTTGCTAGCTACCATAAAATGAAAATGTCGCCTTGAATCGCAACAAAGATATGAAAACTCTAAGTTTGTCTGTTCCTTTTGCCGCTGCTGGTATAAATCCGTGGTCCATGTATCACAGCATCCCAACTCCGCCAGAGTCAATAAGAATCTTGGGATGCCAGGAGCAGGCACAGGGCAATGGAGGAGCTGCGAGTGATACAGTGCAATCAGCAGAGATTGCGTTTACTACGTATGCCCACTTTGAGCTGAACTGTTACTACGTAATATGAATCACCCTTATCCAGCTGGTTCTGATTAGGCACCCCAGTGTCGACCGACAGACTGTAGCTCCCTCTTGCCCTCAAGTTGCTGCTAGATACTAAATCCTCGCTATTGGAAAGGAACCAGGCGCTGCAGCATGGAATGAGTAGTGGCTAAGCAACATGTCAAAACGGAGTCTCGGTTTGAAGTTGAGCATGCCGGCTTACATAATATCAGGTGGCTATTCACAACAACTACTCCGTACTACTACGTAATATTATGACTTGGGCTTCTGACATGTCATTTTAGGGATGTTATATAAAGATTCGGAGTGGGAAATGAACATCTGAGGCTAGGGCATGAGAATATAGCATCTCAAATACGTGCCTAATCAAATAGGCCGCGGTTCTGTACGAAAACCTTCTCGAGCTGCTCGGATAGCCGTTTCGCTTGTATCTTGATCATTATGCGGCTCGGTCTGAATCTGAGCCATCGTAATAGACGTGGATGTGGACCTCGACATGCACGGGATCTCCATCCGTGCCCAGCTCAAAAGGAGCATGTACATCCTCAGCCTTGCCAGCCTTGCCAGCCAATCAATCAATCAATCAATCAATCGGTCATTCTGCTCAACCTCAGTTGCGCTGCCTGTCTCCCAGATATATCTGTCGCGTCTTGGACGCGTAATGGCAGACTAATAGCTGGCTCCACAGGTGCTAGATGCTCGGTGCTCAAATGTTCACATGAGCGCGTTGCCAGGAGGCGGGCTTTCTTTGTTGGGTCCGAAAATAGCATTAGTGATGGCGAAGGTGGCATTGACCATCACTTAACCACCGCGGTCTAGCTTAAATACGAACGATCCAGTTTTAGCTCCTTCGCAAAGAACCCACTTTGGCACTTTTCAGCTTTTAACCCTGCAAAATGGTCCAGCCGCAGGGGGCAAGCCCCCAACCATGCTTCTAGATCAGCCATGCCACCAGACTGCTGCCACCGGGTCGGCCTGTCCTACCATGTTGCTCGTACAGGCGACTTTCTAAGCAACAGATTAACCCTGGCAGTGGCTGGCCAGTACTGTAACGCGATCGGTAAGCTTGTAATGCACCAACTCCCAACTCTCCTTTCTGTCCGGTTGAACGATCCTAGCAGAGAGGAAAGGGGCTACCGCTCTTCCCTACCTTTTCGTTTTAGGGCGGTGACTTTAGCTCTCCATGTCAGGAGGCTTCCTTTCTGTCTAAGGTTCCATCGTAGCACTCATTCTCACTCTCTTGAGGGTTGTCAGAGAGCCACCACCCGGAGGCATACGTTCGCTTACACTACCCAACATTTCTTTCTTTCACAATTTTTACGTCTCAATTCAAGTTTGAGGGCCACGGAACGCTTCGATCTTCACACTCGTTCAGTTGGTACCTGTCCCCCGACTACTTGACGAAACCTCGACTTTGAAGGAACGACACACGACACACGACCTCCTCAAACTACCCTCTCAGCACATAGTCACCAATCCTCCCTTCAGCAGATCTGACAATACATCCAAGGTTTTTTTGGACTAATTTTCAACATATGGTGGATTGATATCACGCATGGTCTGCCGTTAGCTTTTCGTGCTGCTACGTGTTGCACATCATGAAGGTGGGCCCGCAGGGCCTGCTGTTGGTGCTGCTTGCAGCTACCTCGACAGCACTCAAATATGATCCAGATTTCCTCGAATACAACCTTAATCAAAATCAAACGGCTACACATCCTATTGATTACTGGGGGGAGTGGGAAGGACACGAGTTCACACCTTCGCCAGAGGATTGGAGATTTCCTTTCTACACACTCTTCCTGGACAAATTTGCAAATGGAGATCCAACGAACGACAACATAAACGGAACTGTCTTTGAGCATGATTTGAGCTCGAATCAAATGCGCCATGGAGGCGATGTTGTTGGTCTTGTGGATACTCTTGATTATCTGCAAGGCATGGGCATCAGGGTAAGGCGTTCATGCCCATCTCGAGTGGCTTTAGCGGTGACTAACCGGCACAGGGACTCTACTTGGCTGGTTCAATCTTTATGAATCAACCGTGGGGTGCTGATGGCTATTCACCGCTTGACTTGACAGTACTGGACCAGCATTTCGGCACTATTGCAACCTGGCGAGAAGCTATCAATGAGATCCACCGCAGAGGCATGTATGTGCTTATCGATAATACGATGGCAACGTAAGTGACTTCCTACTACGATCTTGTTGCCCTGATTTATTGCTGACTCCGGCCCAGTCTTGGTGATCTCCTGGGTTTTGAAGGCTATTTGAACACAACTACTCCCTTTACTCTAAGCGAGCACAAAGTTCAGTACAAAAGCAAACGGCAGTATTTGGACTTCGAGATTGGCAACGAGTACAACGAGACATGCAGTTACCCTCGGTTTTGGCTAGAAACAGGCTACCCTGTTGGCAGTGACGTGACAAGCCGAATGAAGGGTTGCTTCGATAGCGAGTTCGACCAATATGGCGACACTGAAGCTTTCGGTGTCTTCCCTGATTGGCAACGTCAGTTGTCGAAATTCGCGTCCGTCCAAGATCGTCTTCGCGAATGGCACCCACCTGTACGAAGCAAGCTACAGCGCTTCTACTGCATATTGATTGCTATGCTGGACGTTGATGGCTACCGGTATGACAAAGCTACACAGTCAACTGTCGATGCTATGGCCGAAATGAACGCCTACTTACGCCAGTGTGCCGCCCGTTATGGCAAAAACAATTTTTTCCTCCCAGGAGAAATTACTGGTGGAAACACGTTTGGCGCTATTTACGTTGGCCGTGGAAGACAGCCAGATATGCTCCCTGATTCCATCTACGATGCTGTTATGATGACCAATAACTCGCAAGAAAGATTTTTTATCCGTGAGCATGAAAATGGGGCGCTCGACGCTGGTGCGTTCCATTATTCAACGTATCGTTCTCTGACGAGGTTTTTGGGAATGGACGGGAACCTTGCCGCTGGATATGACTCGCCTGTCAACTGGGTTGACGCTTGGAACACCTTCCTTCTCACGAATGATTTCGTCAACGTAAACACGGGCAAATTTGACCCTCGCCATATGTTTGGGGCCACCAATCAGGATGTTTTCCGATGGCCTGCCATTAAGAATGGGACCCAAAAGTTCCTCCTCGGACAATATATCATGACAATCCATCTACCAGGCATTCCACTTCTTCTGTGGGGTGAGGAGCAAGCATTCTACGTTCTCGACAACACCGCATCCAATTACATTTTCGGTCGTCAAGCAATGACCTCTGCCACAGCCTGGCAGATTCATGGGTGCTACAGATTGACTTCGACGCAATACTATCAGTTCCCGTTGGAGAAGGCTCTGGACGGCTGTAATGATCCAACCGTTAGTCTTGATCACAGAGATCCGTCCCATCCCATCCGGAACATTATTCGTCACATGTTCCAAATGCGCAAAGACTTCCCGGTGCTCAACGACGGCTATTCTCTGACTCAGCTTTCAAATCAGACTACTCAGGTTCAGTATCCAGGTTCGGGCGGTGTAGCCACGGAGACTGGAATGTGGTCCGTTCTGAGAAGCCGCTTTGAAGGCGTGCAAGACCTTGGAGGCGAGAATGGTAACCAGTCGGTGTGGCTTGTGTACCAGAACGACAACCGAACAATTGACTACACATTCGACTGCAGCAACAACGATACTGGTCTCAACATCACCGCTCTGATAGCGCCGTTTGATTCTGGAACCATCGTCAAGAACCTTTTCTTTCCGCATGACGAGCTCGAGCTGGAGGACAGTGTCCGTACCCTAGGCTTTGAGGGAAGTACGAAACCAAATGGGTGCGTCTCCTCCTTGAGGATGGAACCGTGGGATTTCCGAGCATATGTTCCAAAGGACAAATGGATTGCTCCAAAACCGATGATCACAAAATTTCTCCCTGGTCATGACGCCCGTTTGAACTCTACGGTTGCGGCTGATGGCGTCGAGTCAGTGAACGTTGAGATCCACTTCTCCGCAGAAATGGACTGTGCCAGCGTAACCGAATCCATAACGTTTAATTCCACAACAATCTCTGGCAACAAGCCTACTGTAAACACGGGCAGCGTTTCTTGTGACCCTCTAGGTGATTCAGAACCACCAGATTATATCGGTGGAATTGCCGGAGCCTGGAAATGGTCAGCGACATTGGATGGGGTCGAAAATGGCATCCATCAACTGACACTCAGAAATGCTTCCGTGGCGGGTGGTGGCGATGGAACCAATGCCGTTGACCATTTTCTGTTTCGCATTGGTCAAACAAAGAACCCCATGGTGTTTCCTTTCCAAGCCAATTATACCACTGACCTCCTGCACAAGGATGAAAAAGGTGATTTGTATGTTTCGCACAACGCGGCCGGTGCTGACAAGTGGCGATATTCTCTGAATTGGGGTACCACCTTTTCCGACTGGATGCCCTACAGAGGCGGCAATGACTCAGTGCCGAGCCAGCCTTGGTCAGGCACGAAACTACAGGCATGGAAAGGGGACCACGTTCGACTCGAGTACTGGAGTCGTCTAGCCGGAAGCAGCGATCATGTTCAGCAAGGGGACTTAGACTCCCAGCAAACTCCCCGTCGATTTCCTCATCTGTTTCTCAATGGACCCTATAATCAGTATGGGTACGATGCAGGTTTGAAGAACGACCTTCAACTCGAAAGCGACCAACGTTGGAAGCATACATTCATGACTGAATGGCCAGCAGTGGCTCAGATCAATGTCTGGGGCGTCAATCCTGATGGTCAGCCGGATCAGTCTTTTGTGCTAGGTGACGCAGATGGCGATAGTGTCTTGGACAGATTACCACCATCCGCACTCTCAGCTGTCACGTTGAACATTACGCAGCATCCTCCAAGCCCATATTTGGCATGGCGCATTGAACTCAATGACGGCAATCTTCGGTTTCGTCTCCTGCCCGTAGGATCGAAGTACCAGCAAATGGCAATGTTCTTCTTGCTGTGGATAATCCCCATCATTACTGGAGCTATTGGGGTGTGGGCGTTCATGAAGTCTTTCTACCAGGTCAAATTCAACCAGATTGGTATTTCGGAGAAGAGTACTTTGATTCCACTGGCTGTGCGCCGAGCCTTCAAGAAGAGGCAACAGAAAGATGGCGAATCGTTGAACCCACTGATGAAATTAGCCAACAAATCTGGCTTCATGCAGTCAAGTTCAATGTTTGCCAACAAAGGTGCGCATCGACGCATGGTATTGATTGCAACCATGGAGTACGACATTGAAGATTGGGCGATCAAGATCAAGATCGGTGGTCTCGGTGTTATGGCACAGCTGATGGGCAAGAACTTGGGACATCAAGATCTCATCTGGGTGGTTCCCTGCGTTGGAGGAGTCGATTACCCCGAGGACCAACGAGCGGAGCCAATGACCGTTACCATTCTTGGCAACGCCTACGAGGTGAAGGTGCAGTATCACGTCCTTCGCAACATCACCTACGTTCTGCTTGACGCTCCAGTCTTTCGGCAACAAACGAAAACCGAGCCTTACCCACCCCGTATGGATGATCTGGACTCTGCTATATACTATTCGGCTTGGAACCAATGTATTTCTTTGGCCATTCAACGCTTTCCCATCGATCTGTACCACATCAACGATTATCACGGCTCTGTTGCTCCACTATATCTCCTACCACAGGCCATTCCCTGCTGTCTTTCACTCCACAACGCTGAATTTCAGGGCTTGTGGCCAATGCGAACGCAGAAGGAACGTGAAGAAGTCTGCGCAGTCTTCAATCTAGATCCCGAAATCGCAACGCGTTATGTTCAGTTTGGTGAAGTCTTCAACTTGCTCCATTCTGGCGCCTCCTACCTCAGAGTACATCAACAAGGGTTTGGAGCGGTAGGTGTCTCCAAAAAATATGGTAAACGTTCCTATGCTAGGTACCCAATTTTCTGGGGGTTGAAGAAGGTCGGCAACTTGCCCAACCCTGATCCTTCTGATACCGGCGAATGGAACAAAGAGCTCCCTAAAGAGGAAGACATTCGAGTCGATCCTTCATTTGAAGCAGGTCGAGCAGAATTGAAGCGACAAGCGCAGGAATGGGCAGGCCTGGAGCAGAACCCGAAAGCAGAACTCATGGTTTTCGTTGGTCGTTGGTCTATGCAAAAGGGTATCGATTTGATTGCTGATGTCTTCCCATCAGTACTGGAACAGCACCAAGATGCCCAGCTCATCTGTGTTGGCCCAGTCATCGACCTGTACGGGAAATTTGCTGCTTTGAAGCTGGACCGTATGATGAAGCTATATCCGGGCCGTGTCTTCTCAAAGCCCCAGTTCACCGCCCTACCGCCCTACATATTCTCTGGTGCTGAGTTCGCGCTAATACCCTCCCGTGATGAGCCGTTCGGTCTTGTCGCTGTCGAGTTTGGCCGGAAAGGGGCTCTAGGTATTGGAGCAAGAGTTGGCGGGTTGGGACAGATGCCAGGCTGGTGGTACACTGTGGAGAGCACAACAACGACCCATCTGCTACACCAGTTCCACCTGGCTATTGAAGGAGCTCTCAACTCCAAACATGATGTTAGAGCAATGATGAGAGCAAGGTCTGCAAAACAGCGATTCCCAGTGGCACAGTGGGTAGAGGATCTTGAGATCTTGCAATCAACGGCCATTCGGATCAGTAAGAAGGAAATTCGCAAAGGTCATGGGGAGCGATCATCGTCTCCTGGCGGTAACACGCCCTTCAGATCTATCCAGGATGGTCGAGAAACGCCCATCGGGATGCAAACACCACCCATGTCGCATTCTAGAAGCAACAGCTACGTCGGTTTGAACCGATTGAGCCAAGTCGGCCCACAGTCCAGGAATACTATCGTGTATAGTCGGGATCAAAGTCCGGGTGGGTTTGAGGAGAGACCAAAGACCGGCCTCAGCCGTCAGCTCTCTCTCGGTGTCAGATCTGGCCCTGGTCATTTACAACCACCAGGCAATGAGCGGCGAGGGAGAAGAAGACTGCAGAAATCAACCCCTTCAGCAGTGCCCGAAGACGAAGACGAGAACGCTGTTGGTGTGGCAGTCACAGATTATGATGACGAGAGCGACGAAGATATCATACCGAGTTATTATGGGGACGATGAGTACACTTTGACGCCCGAGGAGGCCGAGGCCAGTCGGAGATTGCATCATTCTGGTGGAGCACCACCGCTACCACCCATCGGTCGGGAGTTCTTGTCACCAAGAAAATCGAGCCATGGCCCTCCACCAGGCGATAGCCCCCATGCATCTTTCCTACGAGCATCCAATACCCCCCCTTCTATGCCTGGCACACCTCGTGCTGATGAGGGACTTCTCCCACCGGCACGACCATTCGCAGGGGATTCAGTCTCCAATCGGCTCAGTAATGCTTCTATGCTATCTCTCGATTCTGTAGTTGGCGATAAGAAGGACTTCAATCTCCAGAAGGTGGATCCGTTCTTCACCGATAGTACCGGGGAGTTCTACGACGCATTCTCCAAGAGGCTGGAAAAACTCAATGGAGACAACTCCGAGTCGCAACTCTGCATTGAGGACTATCTTGTAAAGTCGGAGAAGAAATGGTTCCAACGTTTCAGAGACGCCAGATTGGGTCGTACGCACTCTCCATCCCCGTCGATCTTCCACAAAAAGGGTGGTTCTCGTGCGCCTTCACCCGCTGGCTCTATATTTAACGAGGACCTCGACAGTCGAGGATCTGGTTCCGACGGCAAGGAAGGCTCGGGTGATGAATTCTTGCTCGGCAAAGACTACGTTCCACCGACCGGGTTGAAGAAATGGATGCAAATGCGTATCGGAGATTGGCCTGTCTACTCGTTCTTCCTTGGCTTTGGCCAGATCATTGCAGCCAATTCCTACCAGATCACTCTTCTGACTGGAGAAGTGGGTCAGACTGCCACCAAGCTCTACGTGATTGCCTCCATCTACTTGGTTACGTCGATCCTGTGGTGGTTCGTGTTCCGTTCATTCAAATCCGTGGTTGCGCTCAGCACGCCATTCTTATTCTATGGTGCCGCCTTCTTCTTCATCGGTTGTGCTCACTTCGGCACTTCCGAGGACACCCGAGGCTGGATCCAAAACATTGGCACGGGCTTGTATGCTACCGCCTCATCATCTGGTTCGATCTTCTTTGCACTCAACTTTGGTGACGAAGGTGGTGCTCCCGTCAAAGCGTGGGTCTTCCGTGCCTGCGTGATTCAGGGAACGCAACAAGCGTATGTGGTAGCACTCTGGTTCTGGGGCTCTTACCTCACCAAGAGGACCAATGCGGGTGTGTACGAAGGCACGCCCATTGCGGACACATGGAAAATGAGTGCTATCACGTTCCCCATTGCTATCATGCTGTGGGTTGTTGGCACGTTGATGTGGCTTGGACTTCCCAATTACTATCGTCAAGCACCAGGCAAGGTTCCATCCTTCTACCGGTCCCTCACTCGCCGTAAGATCATTCTTTGGTTCTTCGTGGCTGTCGTCATCCAGAATTTCTTCCTTTCGGCACCTTATGGCCGCAACTGGGCTTTCCTATGGAGCAGTAATCACACACCCGCCTGGCAGATCGTGCTGCTTGTCATCTTGTTCTTTGGTATCATCTGGGCTCTCTTCCTCTGGATCTTCTCCGTGCTGTCCAAGGATCACTCCTGGATTCTCCCCGTCTTCGCTATTGGTCTGGGCGCACCTCGATGGGCACAAATCTGGTGGGGTACGTCCAACATTGGGCAGTACGTACCATGGGCCGGCGGGTACACTGCGGGAGCACTGGTCTCGAGATCGTTGTGGCTATGGCTTGGTGTACTGGATTCACTCCAAGGTGTCGGCTTTGGCATGATCTTGCTACAGACGCTAACCCGAGTCCACATTGCCTTCACTCTCCTGGCTGCTCAAGTGTTGGGTTCCGTTGCCACCATATGCGCACGAGCGTTCGCACCCAACAGAATTGGCCCTGGACCAATTTCGCCGGATATCTCGGGTGGTGTTTCAGCGTTGTGGGAGCCCTGGTTCTTTATCTCTCTCGCTTTCAATTTGCTCATCTGCGGTAAGTCTTTAACCCTCCGATACTATATTGGATTCTCACTGATCGCTTCGCTAGCTGGCTTCTTCCTTTTCTTCCGCAAGGAACAACTCTCTAAGCCATAGATATGGCTGGCCATCACACCTTCCCAGCGAGGCTCTCTCTTGCAACGACTCGAATGTATATTCCACCATTACATATTCTCATGTTATGAAAAAACGGATCCATCTGTATCTCTACAGTATTCGCATACAGATGCGCGCTCCTCGATGGTAGCGCTGGGGCGGGGGAGCAGATTTGGCGTCTCAAATGGGGATTTTGTTCTCACTAGACTGGTCGATCTGTGAGGATTGATTATTTGCAGCGTTTAGCCATGTCCACCTAATCTTCTATTCCTAATGGTCAGTCAGTATCTTTAGAGAGGTGGTTTGTCGATTGACTGATCGACTGTATCTGTGGAGATAGAGCGGAAATTAGATATGTTGGTTGAGGGAAATGAATGAGCATGATTGAGATCTTGAGTCCAGATGGAATCCTCTTCGTCTTCCCACTTTTCTATGTATGGAAAGTCTTCATAGCTTGTCTCTGAAGAGTTCTGTCGATCACCATCCAGCATGCGGGAGAGACAGAGTCCCAGGCAGAAGGTATGTATATGTCTGTACAAGACTGGGCAATTTGGCATGTATAATGGTATCCACATCATGCTGAATATTTCCTTGTGGAGATTATTCATTTAGGTTGTAGGTAACCGCTGTACGGAGTATCTGCTTCAAGAATACTCTGTAGTATCTTGATACTTCTAGCAGCCACCAACTTTATATGTAATTGTGTGGCGCTGCGCCGCCAATCATCTCTGCACCCATGTCTACTTGTCCTCCTTGGCATGATGACTTACTACATATAGTACGCCACATCTACCATTCTTATGGTTTACTTTTTGTCTTCGCTATATCACAAGCATCATGGAACCCACTACTATACCGATCGCTTTCCAAGTCCTCCTCTTCTTGTCTCTTGGGGTTGCTTTCATTCTCGGCGCGACATGGACCATCACGAACTTACGCTTCTACGCCCATTTAAGGAAGCTCGCAAATGGAGAAGACAAAGACCCTTCAACAGAGCCATTGGCACTGCCGTATGCTGTGCCGTGGGTCGGTAACGCTCTTGGATTTCTCAATGAGCAAGCGTCGTTTTGGGCCAATATGAAGTAGGTACATGTTCATACTGCTCAAAGATTCGAACCATCTGTCATTTCCATGTGCTCCCCAACGTCCTGTATTACCTTTTCTTGGACTGCAGTGGCTTAGATCCATCCTTTTGCGTTGTACTCAGGAAAACCCTTGGTCCCAATCACCAGCTCTGCACAACGCGGCTGGGACCCGCAAAATGCTATATCATCACTGGCGGCCAGAACATCCAAGCCATGTTCAAGATGTCTCGACATCTCTCCTCGGATCAACTTGAACGCCAGATCATGAAATCGGTCTTCCATCTTCCAGACCGTGACATCGATACCATACTGCAGCCAGCTCACGACGACAAAGGGAAAGTCACAGACATGGGAAAGAAGAATCGGATGTACGATGTCGAGAAAATCTACGAGAATTTCTTGTTGACGCCGCATGCGGTCAATTCCCTGACGACGAAGTTCTTGGATGTGTTTGGTGAAGTTCTGGACCAGGCGCCTGAGATACCCCCACTTCCAGAAGCGAACAGCAGAGAAGCAGAATGGGCGACGGTCAACTTCTATGAGTGGTTCAAGGATCACATGTTCACAGCTTCTACGACTGCGTTCCTTGGCTCGAGAGTGCTGGAGATGAACCCTGATCTCGCCAAGGACTTTTGGATCTTCGAGGAGAATTTCCTGAATCTGGTATATGGACTACCGCGGTTCCTGGCGCGAAGCGGTAATGAAGCCAGAGATCGGCTTTTGAATAGTGCCAGTCGATGGCTGGACGATGCGCACAATCATGGTGATATCGAGAACACTGAGGACTGGGATCCATATTTCGGATCCAGGTTTGTCAGGGAGAGAGAAAAGATGGACCAGAAGATGGGACTGGGCACTAAATCAAAAGCGGGTGTCAGGATCGGTTTGCTGTTTGGGTAAGTACTTGTCCATTGCATGTACCTCTCCGGAAAACATCAAGTTCTATGACATCAAGCTAAATCCGTTTCACCGTTTTTTCCCTATAGAATATCATCCAACGCCATCCCTGCCACCGGCTGGATGCTCCTGCACATCCTCGCCTCTCCAACCCACATCCTTCCCCGAATCCTCTCCGAAGTCCAATCCTGTCTCCTCCCCAACGATGACAACAATAACACCACCACCCTGTCCATCTCCATCCCCGATCTCCTCAACCCAACCCGCACCCCGCTCCTCCACTCCCTCTACACCGAGACCCTCCGCCACTACCACGCCCTCAACCTGTCCCGCGACGTCAAATCCCGCTGCACCATCGACGGCCACCTGCTGCTTCCGGGAAACATGGTCATGGCCCCCAGCTGGATGATGCACCGCAACGAGGACCTGTGGACCGATCCTCCCCCCGACGTCTTCTACCCCGAGAGATTCCTGGCGACGGACGAGAAGAGCGGGGAGGTCACCTTCAGCACGGCGAAGACCGGTGGAGGAAGGTACTTCCCGTATGGAGGTGGGGCGCACATCTGTCCGGGGAGGGTGTTTGCCAAGCAGGAGATCCTGGCGGCGGTGGCGAGGACGCTGCTCGGGTTTGAGTTTGGGTTGGTCGACTGGGTGGAGACGGGCACGGAGAGGGTGGTGGGGAAGAAGGGCGTGGATGGGAGGGGGTTTCCGGGCCATAAGAAGGGGTACGTGGGGTTGGGGGTGATGGTGATGGAGTGGGATGCTAGGGTCAAGGTGAGGAGGAGGAGAGTGGGGACCGGTGGAGAGGGTTTGGTGAAGAGCTGATTTCGATCATTTTTGGGAGAGTCGGTTCTGCAGTGGGGAACGGTTTGGAATCTGAGGCTGAAACCCTAAAATGATATCGCTGGTTTATATCTGGTTTGGGGACCAGATGTGGTGCCAGTTACATTTGTAGCGTAGGAAGGAGAGAGGATGGGAAGAAAAAGACTCCAGAGCGTATGTACATGTGGAAGAAGGCGCCTTGTTCGTTGTAATACACAAAAAGTCAATAAATTTCTTGTATCGAGCAACTGCGCACCTATTCCTAGTCGTCTCTTGCTCAACTTACCTATATAGTACTTTTGATGTCGAGGTAGCCAGATGGGGGGAAAGGATATATATATATATGATGGGCTACATTATGTGTGTACATTGCAAACAAGACCTGATCTTTATACCGAATGAGGCTCTGCAGGATTTGTGGATGGGATGGAAGGAGAGAAACAGATTAGTCATTGGCGATTGAAGGAGAATGTATAGACGAGGATGAAAGAGGAGCTGCACGCCATGTACGGAGAATATGTGTGTATGTGAGGAAAAAGAAGTGGATTGACGAAGACGCGTTATATATGCATTGGCCGGAGGTAAGATTGTATACAAGGTTGGATGGAAATGAGAAAAAGCCTGACATGGCTCTTTTTCGTGCCGCATAGGCGCCTCTCTTTCTCCCTATCCATTCAGATGCTCAACTGTACACAGAGTCCAGCTTGCTGCTGCTGCTGCTGCGCCAGCCCTCTCAAGCGCTCAACCCACAAGACTCTCATCCCCACCCCCACCGTCGATCATCTCCATCCAGCCTCACATTTTCTCAAGACCCAGCACAGTCTAGAAATGAACCGTAGTCTCTAAACAGGTGATGGGCTCCGCATCTTTGGAGACCACATTCGCAATCACGGTATACTGGCCCGGAGGCACCTCTCTCGGGATCTTGACGTCGTGCACCATGCTCATCTTTCCCTTCTTGAGCGGGCACTCGAGATCGACTTCTTTGATCTGCGAACACAGATCGGCCGTCGTCTTGATCAGGGTGATGAGGCCGTATTTGACGGTCAGGGCGACCGTGGCACCGTCGGCAACGTCTTCGCTGAAAGAGCCGGAGGCGGTGATGGTGAGGTTGGAGTTGCTGTAATGGGGGAAAAGGAGGGTTAGTTTGGCTATGGTGGTGGTGGCGTGGTAGAGGGTGGGGGGTGGATGCCTACCTTTTGGGTGGGTTAGGGTCCAGATCGACCTTGTCGATGTCGAGGATGTAGTTTTTGGGATTGCCGCAGAACTGGATGAGGAGGTTAGGGATTTAATTGCCATAGATGATATGCTGAGAAGTTGTGGCAACGCACCTTCAAAGGGTTCTTGCCTGGGACATCGAAGGAGTTGGCTAGAGGCGCCTGGTCATGGCTGAAGACCGAGAAGGACTTGGAGGCGACGAGGGAGGCAGACAGGAAGGGGAGGAGAACAGAAAGTATCCTCATTATGAGATGCTGATTCAAGATGGTATAACTGGTGATTGGCTAGGTCTAGAGCCTTATGTATGCGAGTAGAATGGTGGAGGTGCGATACAACTAAGTTGGAAGCTGAATGATGATGCTGAGAGTTGGTTGGGAGCTCTGCAGCGCTATTTCACACCTGCGCGGCTAAAGTGGGCGCCCCCATCTTAGCTGCAGCAGGTACCAAGTATTAGAAAATACCTCTGCACCAGCCCCCCAATAGGTGCCCATCACTGGTAAGCATCACCCTAATAATATTGAAAGTTAATCCCCACGCTGAGCAATGTTTAGGTCTAGGTATTGATCTATTACTGGAGTACTGGATGACACTAATGATGCAAGTGCAAACAATGCGCCAAACGTGTAGCAAATGCGCGTCTTTCAATTAAAACCCATCAAGGAGGTGCACGTGTATACACGTCCGGTAGAGAGAGTGCAATAGAATCCGCTCCGAAATGACGATCGGTATCTCCAGATGATACCAATAGAATAGAGACAGACTTGTTTTTCAGTGTGAAAGATTTCTGCGATCCTGGTATTGAGGTAGAAGAAGAAATTAGGGAGCGCGTAAACAGTGTTGGTCATGTTGACACTAGTAATCTTTATACGTAGTATGTTCAAACATGGCTTTGAGTCTCACCCTTCTGATCCGCTGGCACGTAACTTCCTGATCCAGAATCATTAACGAGTACAACAAATTCCACCCCTGAGAGCAATCTTCCTCCAAGACGAGCAACTTATGGTGACCAACCCCTTTAATAACGACTCTGGCATAGTTCATCACATTGCCTAACAAGGTACCGCAAGAAGATGAATCTGCTGTCTCCCTCTTCCAGCGGCTGGCAGGATAATAGGAGTTGTCTACTTCGCGAGGCGGCGATCCGAAGATGATAATCTTACACTATTTAGGCATTTTCCAGTTGTATGACTGCTTGACACATAACACTCTATGTATAAGTCCAGTACTGGTAACCACGTGTACAGGACGACGATGAAGCTGCAGTGTTCTTCCTAGCCATCCATTCAATGATGACTAGTCATCTGCTGTGCCCAGCATTAAAGCTTTCTTGTTGCTCTTGCAGCATCTCAGAAACATTGGCCATTTTGAGAAGATCTCCGCTTCTCTACACTAGACCCCGATGCTAGACCTTCTCCAGCTCGAACCGTCTAGGGTATAATCCCTTCCTCGATGACAACATTGACCGACACGTCCCTTGAGAAACTATTCCCCAAACAGTCTTTTTACTCTTCGAAGCACGCTGTCCTTTTCTGGGTCGTATGGGTGATCTTTGCTGGGAATTTCAAGTATCGCTGGGAACGCCTCAGTAAAGCTATCTACCTGATATCGTATCTTCTCGGCAACCTGGAATCCATTGAGCGTCAGCCCCCCTTGTCTCGGTTATGGGGGCGTCATTGTGAACGACTTATCAAGGAGGATTGAAGAAGATCAGAGGTTATGGCTGAACGCGTGAGACGCATGATGCCTACATGTTGATTTATGAGCAATATTCCGATGTCCTTTCTTTCCCTGGTAAACCGTGTAAATGCTTGCTCGATCTGGCTCGCCTCAGTTTTTTGATCGACGATCAAGAAGTTTCGTTGGGAATCTGGAGGATCTGTGACATGACCGACACCTGCGAGAAGCAATCCTGTTACTGAACTATTGTTTTGTCAGTCGAAGAATGTAGAAGAGCTTTTGTAGGATGGAGGATAGGCGCCAGATGTGGGGAGTAATGGTGCTCGAGGCATACTCTTCGTCTCCAATAACTGCGAGGAATTGTCGGTCCTTAAATTGATCAACTTAAGGGCTTCGTGATCAGACGGACCAGTGACATACCTTGTAAGCGGACGGTGGAGCTGCCATATTAAGTCTCTAAAAGTAGCTTCACCTGAGCTTGCAAGGCCAAGAGATAATATGATCAGACTGAATCGTCGCCAAGTGTTCTCAATAGGCAAAGGTATGAGTGGTGATTGTTATTCCATGATGGCTGTCACAGTCTGATTACAGTATAAGGAAGCTTTGCTTGATGCAGATCCCCGAAAGCTCGGGCCACAACCGACGAAGCTCAGAACTTCCCGCATGTCATTTGTTTACACGTGTACTACGTATCTACGTGCAGAACAACTCACCACTTCACAACGTGAAGAGTCACAAGAGAAAATCTAGCACCTACTAAAAGAATGCGAAGTCAAGTACTGGACCTATTCCCAACTGTGCCGTTTCCCAAACCAAACCATGCCACGCCTGATCCGCCGACAGCCGCTGTTAGAACGCATCCAGGGCTATCTGAATCCGGCCGATCTTCTTCTTTGGTTGTCTGAAGAATTTGAGTCACAGGGATGGGATCAGCTTGAGAAAGAATGGGCCGTGCCGATCGGATTCGTACTGAATCTGACCTTTATTGTTGCAAGAGCCAACAGTCGAGGTGCATCCGAAAGTTATGATGATGTCTTTGGGGATACTAGGAGGGCGACAGGCTGGTTTAGCTGGTTGGTGAGTACTCCGTATGAATTTCCAGGTTTGGCTCGTGGAAGCGGTGCTAACTGTTCTGCAACCAGGCCTCGTTCTTGGTCCATTTTTTGGCCCTTCTATCATTCGTCAATGCCACCTGCACATTTTGGCGCAAAAGACATTATCGACTGTTCGAAGCATCTGTCGATACTGTCCCTAGCACACCCTCGGCTTACCGAGTCCGTGTAGACTCTTCCCCAATATCATCCTCACCTCTACGATTTTTATCGAACATACTTGGGGCAGACAACGCGCAGTCGAGAGCACACCCGGATCCACAACGAGATGTCTGGGAACTGGCCGTTTGGGATCCATTGCCTGTCTGCTTGAGACTCTTCTGTTATTTCAGTCCTGGCCATGTGTTGATATACTGCCTGTTCTTGCCTACAGCTATAGCAGATCCAAGACCTAGCATGACCATTGTTACTGCGATTGCTGTTTCAGTACTTCTGTCAGTTCAGCTGTCAACGCTACAGTCGAGTTTTTCGCAGCAATCGAAGGACTCAGCATTGATCTCGAAGGAACTCCTCCACGAATACGACACCAAATTTGTCCACCCGAGAACCCAGCCATTGTATCGGGACGTCGGAACTCAGTTCACGGAGCAAGCATCTCATAGTGCTCACAGGGATGAAAAGTATAACTTTGTTGAAGTCCATACACCTAGAGTCGTGATCAATCGAGGCTTCAAGACCAACCCGAATCCCAATTATTCGAAGCACACAGATCCGGATGGTGTTGCTGCTCGGCCAAGCTATTCGCGAGGCCTCTCGTCCACACCCAGCATCATTCCAGGAGTGCAGCCTATTCGGACCCCTGCACATCTTCGCGACTCTTCTTCGCCCATCAGACCTAGTACTGCTATACGACAGCCCCAATTCAAACCTGCGCCAGAATCACAACCAGGTCTAGGTGGAAGCCTTGGGGTTTACTCACATGCAAACTCGCCTCTAAAGAAAAATCCATTCGGCGGTCCTGATATGAGAGGCAAATATTCCAACGATTACATTAGGGAAAGAAGTTTGAGCCCGGAGAAGAGACCACCAAGCCCAGCTAAGCGGATGAGTGTTCCATCGACGGGCATCAACACTCTAGCTGCAACCAAAAGATGGGGACATTTGCAGTCTAATGCTAGACGTGAAAGTGGAAGATTTTGATGGCAACAATAGTGACTAGCTTATGAGCGAGGTACACAGATCTTTTTGTCCAGTAGAACCATCTTCGGCCTGATTCATGTTGGGCACTCCCCATGTCTTCAAGCTGCCGTGGAAGAATCTTTTCTCCCGATACTCATGCCATGGCGGCAGCATGTCACCCTCGGGACATTCAAGCGGTAGTCGCTTGCCGGTTGCTCCTGCCATGGGCGATAGCCTAGCTTTTGACGTTCAAAGTTTTCATTCTGTCGCCGCTGCGGAGCAGCATTCCTCGAACATCCTCATCATCACAATGTACAGTACCCCAGCAACGAGCCTCGATCAGAATGTCCCCAAGCACGGACCAAAGAGCGAGTCCACAACTGACACCAGACGCAACTCGTAAGAACCACACCACATCAACGCTCCCTGGTAGAAACCACCAGAAGAGATCATCCAGCTGGTTGCAGTATCACTCGAGGCATACATCAAATCCATTCTTCCTTAGCAGGCGTGCAAGAGAACAAGGAGGTATCCATAGGGACAAGAGATCAGGACGGCAGTCAGTGGCTCTCGATGAGCCATCAAACGACTTGGAGGGCGGCCTTCTTACGAACAAACCTGATTCGCTTCTTGTTCATATCCCTGGCATCTCTGAAGAAGTCACTTCAGACGAAACTCCGAGCCATAGAAAGAAGGGTGCGTCTCAGCCATTACACACCCACTAAGCCCACACTCAACTTGCAGGAAAGGAGGGCTAAAGAACAATATTGACCTAGAGGTAGTAAAAGTACCCGACCTTCCACACAATGTGAAGACTCCTTTTCGCCTTGGGAACAGGCCCTTGCCACAAGTTGATATAACTACACCAACATATCCTACGAGTTCGGCTGGTCATTCGCCAAATCTGCTTGATGACGGTCTTGTGCAGCAGAATCTTTCGTATGAGGAAGGCATCGTGCGAAGAAGCATTATGCGGACAGTAAGTCACGAGGATTACCTTCTCGCACGAGGAGCGAATCCTCGTACAGGTGTCGTGACTCCGATTTTGCAGGGCGGAAGTAGCTCAACCGACGACCAGGATCTCCTCAGAGTCAGAGAGATGCCTCAACACCCAAAATGGCGATTGAAGGGTGATCAATGGGTCAGCTTGAGTCTAGACGAGCCCACTCCTCTGCCCAGTCCTCCGTCCGAACCAGACAACCGTCAACCTGGGAGGCTATTGCGGATACCACCCAAGCTGACACACGGGAGAAATAGAGATATGAAGACCTCCGAACAGCAAAGAATCGGTGAATGGACGGCAGCAGATGACAGAAGTGCACCTTTTCAGCAAACAGGACAGCAGAACAAGAGAGATATCTCAACTTCTGACGTAAAAACGAATCGTACTAAAGCTATTGTCGTTCCGGCGAGATCGCTTCCGAGAGATCAGGGTAGATCTGGCCAAAAACCCGTGATCAAGAGGAAGCCTTTGGGAACTCCACCTCGACAGCAGTCGGTTGAGATTCTCTCGCGCAGAGATGACTTGCCAGAGGCAAGCACAGAGACGGTGATTACCAAGACAGGTCCTATAGAGCAGATACGATCTTCCTCAATGCCTACGCCTCGAAAGATTCGTTTCTTCCGACCCGAAGATGTTGGTAAAGCATTGCCTGCTCTACCTGAGTCCACTGCCGATGACCATGAACATTTGAAGGCAGAGTCTCCATCCAAGGCAATGCCTTTTTTAGGCCTGCGACCGGGCGGCGGGACAGCAGATGTCTTGATTCGCCCCACCTTGATCAGTCACCGTTCAAGGAAAGGGCTCCCATGTCAGCCGACGAACGATATCCAATTCCGGTCTCATCGCTTGGAAAATATAGAGACAAGGCGCCCGCCCGCAATGACAATGCCCACGCAGACCAGCAAACCCGAGAATCATTCGCGCAAGGTAAATTTTCTACCGAATACCGAGGGGAGAAACACGGCTCTGCCACGGCGCCCGCCCATGATACCACCGAGAGACTATCGACCCGCCAGGTTGATACATGCAGAGCAGCAAGCCGGGCAACAGAGTGTAATGGAAGTCTTCGATGCAAGCCCTTCGAAGCATGCGCAGCCAACGCCACAGGCGCACACAACAAACCTGAACAGCCAGATGATAGCGAAGATGACAGGGGCAGAAGCCATCAATGCGCACACTCATCCATCCACTATCACACCCACTATCACACCCACCACCACCACAGTGCCGCTTTCACCGGAGGACAAGCTGGTGGATTCGAGCTGGAGAGAGATACCTTCGCCATTGCGCCTGGGACGACAAAGAGCCAACACAATATCACGTCCAGCAATGCCAGGAAGAGCCGAAGGGACGCAGAACGTTCCGAAAGTGAGCCCGCAAAGGGAAGTACCAGGGCAGTACCAGAAGAGAATGACTGGTATGAGCGACAGCAGCGTGTCGGCAAACAACACACCAGTGGAAGGGAGTCCGGAGCGCGATCTCATTCCCCGCCCCCTCAGACTAAGCAACGGAAACACAGCAGATCTCGACCGGCTCCGAGAAGTACGAGCAAAGGGCGCCACAGACGCAGGTCAACCGATGGCGACCTGTGCACGTTGCCAAGAATGCTCCTTGGGCGACAAGCGACTAAATACGCATGGATTCACCCATACGCGAGGGAGCCCACTGGAGGAGAACATTGACCCTCAGGTCGACTTGAGTTGTACTTCCGGCTTCTTGCAAGGCACTCGGGCCGATCACGCGGGGTGTTGCCCAGAATGCTGTGTGGTTGGCTGTCATGGAAGCTGTCTGGGACACAGGTCTCCATCTGTGGATGGGTCTGCCTCCGGGCTCGCAGGGAGCTTCAGCGCAGTGAAGGAAGCCTTTCGCAATTCCATGAAGCTTAGCAGAAGGACCCGAACTCGGACAAGCGCGGGTGGTTCCCAAGAGACTGAAACCGAAGAAGTGGCCGAGCTGGAGACCCCAACGCCCTGGGAGATGGGTGGACCGGTCAGCTTGGGGTTGCCATGTAAGGTGGGCCCTCAAACCTTCTGGGGTGGCGGTGGCGGCGGTGGCAGCGATGCAAGGGATAGCAAGGAAGGGAAAAGGATCGCCAGCAATGCCTCGGGCTCAAGTGTCAAGACTTTGGATATGCCAACTAATGCTAGCATCGGAACAATCGTGGAAGCTCTTGTCGTACCATTCGGCGCGTTGAAGATGTGGCTGAAGAAGCATCCGCAGCTACTTGCTCTCATGCAGCTGATCGTGGTAAAACTGTTGGAGATGAGCAAGCACGTATTCGACACCGCAGGTAGGGCTTACCGGGTAGCCTATATCTACTCGAAGACTGGTAGGATCAGTCCTGGCAAGAGCAGCTCTGTCGGCGGTTTCGTCAGGGACTGTGTCAAAGCGGTGGTATACTGTCTGATCCTTGGAGCGGTGGCCATGATGGTGGGGAGGGTGCTTGCTGTGTTCGCCAGGGCCGGGAGCTGGCTGGTCTGGTCTCTGAGTTGGGTTGTGTGGATCGTGAAGGCGGTTGGACTGGGGATATTCTGGTAGCTCGTCCCTATCAAATAACCCGTAACGTATTCTTCCCACCCCGAAGCCGGTTCCTTTCCCTTTCTGGTTCCAAATAATATTTCTAACTTCCGGTCCCTTTTCAATCACGACTCCGGTACCTCTCCCTATATTCCTTCATCCTCCTCAATTCCTCCTCACCCGCCCCAGGAATCCTCCCCTCTTCCACCGCCCCAATCAGATCCTCAAACCTTATCACCGCCTTGACCGGGACTCCTAACTCCTCACTCGCGACCCCCAATGCGGATCTTGGCTCCTCCTCCCCCCCCCTCCCCTGCCGATCCAGCAATACCACCACTCCCACCACGATCCCGCCTTCCTCGCGGATCAGGTTGACGGCTTCGCGGATTGCTGTGCCGGCTGTGATGACGTCGTCAACGATCACGACGCGTTTGTCCTTGACGGGGCAGCCGACGAGGGAACCGCCTTCGCCGTGCGGTTTGGGCTCTTTGCGGTTGTAGGCGTATGATATTGAATGGAATGGCGAGATGGTCGTTGGGTTGGTGGTGTGCTGGGCTTGGAGGAGGAGGAAAGGGAGGATACTGCCGCTCAGCACTATACCTTTATAGGCAGGGCCGAAGAGGACGTCGTATGTGGGGATTGGGATGGGGGTAGGGTTGCTGGATTCGGAGAGGGTGGAGGAGGAGGAGTACTGGGATTGCGGTTTGGAGGTGAAGGGCGGAGAGGTGAGAACGGAGGCGTAAGCGCTGCAGACGGCGTGGTGCAGGGAGGCGGTATACAGCAGCGACGAGTTGAAGAAGTAGGGCGATTGGCGTCCGGATTTCAGCGTGTAGGTCCCGAAGGTTAGGGCGGAGGTGGTGGGGAGGAGGGGCAGGAGGGTGTGTTTGGCGTCGCTCATGCTGGTCTTTGGGTGGAAAATGGGCAGAAGGGTTGCAGGGAAGAGGATCTGAGTTTGCTGCGAGAGATGTAGTTAGAAGGGTGACGCTCGGTAATAACTGACTGGTGAACACTACGGTAGGTCAAAGGCTGGGAGGGGACGAGGTGATTAGGGCTTGTGATTAGGGCACGAAGTTAGACGGGCCTATACCTGCTTCTCTGTTATTTCTTGTCAAGCTGTACTCCGTATGTGAGAGTGCCTATTGGCCAGGTTTTCTACGTTGTCATTCCTACTGTCCGCCTGCGTGTAATTTGTCGTTTTCTAAGGCAATTTGGGAGCAAGTTTTGATGTACTGTACCGTACAGCCTATTTTGTACGTATGCCTACGCTTTCAGCTCCTTAATAGATAGAACAATTTACTTTCCATCTTCTTGCTCTCTGTCTTTGTAGAAGCTATTTTATGAACGTTAACGTGCTGACCTGAGACTCGATGTCGAGAACACACGAGATTGTCCATCTCCATTCTCTGCTGCTGGTCTTGTATCAGGGTCGGTCCGAGTCGACAGCAACTTCGAGAGCAGCTTGCCAAGATTGGCGACTCCGGCCCGGTGGTGGAAGGATGCCTAAGTTCCAGTGGCAGTATACTGCATACTGCAGTGGGTCAAGGATGCCATCCTGTGGGAGTTCAAGGCGAATATCCGGCAAGGCATGGCTTCTCCTCCTGAATTACACCTCCTTCTCCTCGACACATGCTCCTCTCCTTCACCAAGTCCTTGTGTTCAATTCATAGCTAGCAGGGAAAAAGTCTCCGGTGCTGCTGCTCAGGGTGGAACATTGTCCATTGTCCAGAGTCCCTGCCAAGCATTGCACTGAGTGGGTTGAACCCCAAAATTTCCCTCCCAACACCGCAGTCGAAGCATCCGCTTTTATTCGTCCATTGCCCACATCTTTTCCTCTTACCACATCACTACCTACGACCCTTAGCTGCATTCGAACGCTCAACCTTGCCCTGCAAGTCTACCGCCCTTCCAACGTTTCTAAACTACCGCCGTGGTTCATGTTTCGTAAATTGGCAGACAGGTGGGCTCGCAAACGTTACTTTGGATGACCTTCTTTGCAGTGGCATATGCTACACTTCAGTCACTACTGCATACAACCATCTCTTGACTCCAAACGCCCCAGTCGCAGACAGTATCACATGTAAGCTTCAACAGCTCACGTTTGTTCTGGGACCGATGGTCGTACGAAGATCACAATCGCCCACTCTGTTCTCGTTGGAGAGGGCTCTGTGTCCTCCAAGCAAACAAAGCATATTCTCGTTGTCTTGACGTCTTGGAACTGACCTCTCGTTGCGAAACAGATTGAAAATTGCTCAAGATGCATATTTCCGGCAAGCTGGCTGCTTCGTATGAAGCTTCCAAGCCCACCTTCTCTTTCGAGTTCTTCCCTCCCAAAACAGCACAAGGTGTGCAGAATCTATATGATCGTATGGACCGTATGCACGACCTCGGTCCAGCTTTTATCGATATCACCTGGGGCGCTGGAGGACGCCACTCTCAACTGACCTGTGAAATGGTCAATGCGGCTCAGACGCACTATGGTCTCGAAACCTGCATGCACCTAACATGCACAGATATGGGCAAGGAAAAGGTGGATCAAGCACTTCAACAAGCATATAAAGCAGGCTGCACTAATATCCTTGCGCTGAGAGGCGACCCTCCCCGCGAGAGCGAGAAGTGGAAAGCCACGGAGGGAGGCTTTCGTTATGCCAAGGATCTTGTCAGCTACATCAAGTCCCGATACGGTAATCACTTCGACATTGGCGTTGCTGGATATCCCGAAGGATGTGATGACCAGGATGATGTCGACCTGCTCATTGATCACCTTAAGCAGAAGGTAGATGCTGGTGGCACCTTTATCGTTACGCAGATGTTCTACGACGTTGACATCTTCCTTGCATGGGTCAAGAAATGTCGAGAGCGAGGAATCAACGTGCCCATCATTCCCGGAATTATGCCTATCTCTACTCATGCCTCGTTCCAGCGACGAGTCGACTGGACAAGGTGCCATGTCCCAGACGCCTGGAACGCTGCACTTGAGCCCGTAAAAAACGATGATGCCGCCGTTCGTGAAATCGGTAAAGGGCTCATTGCAGATATGTGCCGAAAGATCATTGACGCTGGTATACTACATCTCCATTTCTACACCATGAATCTTGCGCAAGCAACTCGAATGATTTTGGAACATCTGTCGCTCACGCCCACTACATCCGGCTCACCACTTTTCAAGCCGCTTCCATGGCGCCAATCACTGGGCTTGAATCGCCGTGACGAAACAGTGCGGCCAATTTTCTGGCGGAACCGAAACACCTCGTATGTCGCGCGCACGGCCGACTGGGATGAGTTCCCAAATGGTCGGTGGGGTGACAGCAGATCTCCTGCTTTCGGTGAACTTGACGCTTATGGTATTGGTCTGAAAGGAACAAACGAGGCCAATACAAAGCTTTGGGGACAACCTTCCAGCCTGCAAGATATTTCACGCCTTTTTGTCAGGTACCTCAACGGGGAGCTCGATCGTTTGCCGTGGAGTGAAGCTGGCATTTCCCCTGAAGCGGACTCCATCAAGCCAGAACTCCTCTCACTAAACGAACGTGGGTTATTGACTATCAATTCTCAGCCCGCTATCAATGGTGTTGCTTCCAACCATCCAGTCCATGGCTGGGGACCCGCGAATGGTTACGTCTATCAGAAAGCCTATCTAGAACTTTTCATCTCTCCCAACCTGATCGAAACCATTCTAGAGCGTATCATTGCAAACAAAGATCTCACTTACTATGCTGTCAGCAAGAATGGCGAGCTTCGGACCAATACACGCGATGAGGGACCAAATGCGGTAACCTGGGGCATCTTCCCGAACCGCGAAATCGTCCAGCCTACAATCGTGGAAACGGTCAGCTTCTTGGCATGGAAGGACGAAGCGTACAGACTTGGAGATGATTGGTCTAGGTGTTATCCTTCTGAGTCATCCCACCGGCGACTTATCGAAGGTTTGATGAACGAATGGTTCCTCATCAATATCGTCAACAATGATTTTCATCAAGAGAAGGAGATTTTCCGGATCTTTGACGGCCTCCAGGTAGATGATATGGACAAGGTGGTAGAGGGCCAGCCATGCACAAATGGAGTTCAAAGCAACGGCACTCCTGAAGAAGCGAAGCAAGACCGTCCCATAGAGGCTAATGGGACCGTGGTTGAAATGAATGGAAGCGCAGAGCGGAAGCCGAAGCCGAAGCCAAAGCCGTACACGGGCGCGGAATTTACCGGAGCAAGCCAGCTGAGAAACTAGAGTGGCGCCCACCCTAGAGAGCTGCACACTAGACAGACCATCAAAGCGACCTGCTTACGGGGTTTTTAGGCAGAAGACGTAGGATATGCTTTCCAGCTTTGGGACTAAGGCGTTCTTGGGGGTGTATTGGCAGGGCGTATTCAACACAAAAGGGCTGGAAGAGATGGCCATTGAGTCCATTTCCTTTCTCGAGGAATTCAACATATGAGATACCCATAACAGTTAAAACGAACAACTGGAGCACGAAGAAGGAAAAATGCAGAAGACCGAGGACAAATGTCGGGGAAGCTATCAACGCTCATCGATGGACTGGCCTTTTTCAACATGGCCGCCCTGGTTATAGCAGTCCCCTACGAAGAATTTCGATCTATAAGTTACAAATATTGGTTACAGAACACCACATCCTATAATTGTATTGATGTTCTTCCTCCTCTCTGATCGATCAGCCGACTGGCTTTCCTGCCTTTGTAAATTCCCTGACTGACTGACTGCCTGCCTGCCTGACTGACTGACTGACTGACTGACTGACTGACTGACGGACTGACTGACTGCCCGCCCCCCATACCTGGCCTGTTCGTCCCTCCATCCTATACACATACTAATCCGCGACGATGTGACGCCGACCTACCTACCTACCTACCTGCCCGGCCTTTATTTACTACGCCTCGCTCATGTCCTGTCCTGTCCTGTCCTGTCCTGTCCTGTCCTGTCCTGTCCTGTCCTGTCCGGAGTACATACTCATCCGACCCTCCCATCATCTGACCCTGCTTCTGTTCTTCTTCTGTTCTTCTTCTGCTGCTGCTGCTTCTTCTTCCTCTTCCTTCCCCTTCCTCTTCCTTCCCCTTCCCCTTCCTCTCCCTTCCCCTTCCCCTTCCTCTCGTAGCAGTAGTAGTGATAGCGATGTGTTTAAATTTCAACTACCGGATTTTTGATACACGCCGTACGTAGACAGAGAGACCTCGCCGACCCTATTTCCCTCATTTGCCCCCACCCTTCCCCCCTCTCTCTCGGATAGGCATCCATCTCAGACAAGACATTATGCTGTATGCTGTATGTGCATTATGTGCATGTATGTATGTGCTTGTTGATTGGGGGAACTTTACTGCTGCTGGCTGATGATGATGAAAGAATGAAAGAAAGAAAGAATTCCCCTGATTTCAATCAAGATCAAGTAGGTCAGATGAGAGGAAATGAGATGAAATAAACAACGAAATGAGGTTCGACTTTTTATTTTATTTTATTT